TTCAGGAATTTAATTGAACTAGAGGAAAAATTCTCAAATGCAACATAGATTACGGGTTACATAATTGATTTACAACGCTTAACACATATTTACCTTCACATTCTCCGTTTATATTGACAAATCGCACCAATCATCTCAATCCTAGATCTGTTTAGGTCTTTACTGTTGGACATGTGTTACCAAATTTTAAGACTTTTGTGTATTTACTTTGGTACAGTGTACTTAGAATACAGTGTAAGTACCTATATATATGTTTCAGTATGGATGGTTTATTTGATTATATGAAAAAACTATAACATATTGCAGTTTGCTTATCACTTTTTTAGTAAAATATATTGGAAAATTTGGTGTATTTCAATAGCATAAGCAAGAGCAACACTCTAATAATCTTAAGACTTTTATTATAGCTACTTGTTTTTCCAACATAAGATAAATCGTAGTTCTCAACTTTAAAAACTATTTTTGAAAAGAAGTATTCATTGGAGTTTAAATAAAGACGATTATTAAATTAAAGAGTTTTGAAGTAAACCAAAATGATTAACAAAAGGTATTTACCATCTTCTACAGCTCAGTTCTAACTTGAGTTACGGCCGTTTTGGCATTATAATGTCATCGTCAGACGTGGAACATTCAGCTGAAGAAGCGCAGTCATAGTCAAAATCAAAAAACAAACAACATTTTACAATTAACGAAAATACAACGAATAACAGGCCTGTCGCACAAACGGTACCGGTTGACACTGCTGCGATCTGAACTGGATGCCGACTCTGTCAGCAGATCGTGACAGAGCGCGGCAATGTTAACCGGTACCGTGTGTGCTACAGGCCTGTTATTCGTTGTATTTTCGTTAATTGTAAAATGTTGTTGGTGTTATGTGTTTTGACTATGACGAAGCTTCTTCAGTTAAATGTGCCATGTCTGACGATGGCATTATAATGCCGAAACGAACGTAACTCAAGTTACAACAGTTTGAGCTGTAGACGAAGGTAAATACCTATTTTTAATTACTATCACAGCTCAGGGGCTAAAAATGGATTTTAAAACAACTGAAATGAATGACTTAAACATATTAATCACCAAACATCAACTCAAAACGTATTCAAAAACAAAAAATTATTTATGTTGGTGTTTGGCTCTACTGATCTTTAATTAAAATCAATAGTCAAAATTTTTCAACTTAAGAGGAAATTAGAATGTTAGAAATTAAACAAACTGGATGATAAGCATTATAATTTAACTCTAAATAAAAATGTTTCTGAACAAACATTTTTTGAATGGTTTAAACTATGTTACTACAACCGACATTCATAGCCAACTTAGAATTTGGATTACCATTGTGAATTCAATTGTTTGAAATTGGTTATGTTTTCTTAAAATATATTTTCAATCTACAATCTTTTATTAGTGCAAGGCTGAACAAAATTAGAAATAAATAACTCTATGTTTATTGTTGAAAATGGAGATAGCTTTCTTTAAAACAATACTTTGTAGTAATTGTAAACTTATTAGTCCATGTCAAACAAATTTGGGCAGGTCCATTATGGTTGACTGTATACTTATTAAAAGTTATTAAAACGTGTACTACCATTTTATTGCTATTGCTATTCATTTTGTAACTCATTATAATGTTTGTTTAATATTGAGGTAATTAAATAATTTTAAAATTTACAATTAAGGCACCTTTGGTTTATAAAATGTCTGTACGCTATTTGTCATTTAAATTTCCACTAATCTTTGACTTGAAGTCTATGTTCCTAACAATTGTTTACCAACCAACAAGTGATATAATAAGAGGCATTTTACAGTAATACATTTGGGGAGGGGTCTTGTTTATTGTTGTGCGTTTTTTTTATGGGCTTCAGAATTGAGTTGCACAGCATTTTGGAGGGATGATGAAAGTGTCCAAGATAGGTCACAAGTAGTTTCAACCTTTCGTTGCCAGTACAGAGTAAATGGACAATTCCTCAGTGTAGGTAAAAAATATCAATTTGTATTTAAATAGTATTTTTAAACATTATGGCACTTTTAAGGTACAGTGTGATTGAATGACTGAGATTATCTACAAGTATAGATCATGTCAACTAGGATGGCGTGTACGGAGGGGTTAGGGTGGGAGCCTTCTCTGAGGAGACACTAGACGCTACTGGTATTAAATTGATCCTATGGCAATTAATTATCGAGACGATTTTACAAAATACCAAAAGCAACGTTGGTGGGGGGAGGGTTCTTATGTGCATCCTATTTGCCATCCTAAATGACAAAATCTATAACTGAGTCGCTTGCTATAGAAACGTGTGTTGTATTCTCCTTTCCCATTAGGGATGAGATAAACTCTTCTCTAACAATTCTCTAACAAAAGAATCATTAAAATTCATACAGTTAAGAACAAAATACCATGATCTAGGATATCTCTTTGAATAAATTACAAATTTTTAGTATTAACTCTTAAGTGAATCACCAAGTAAGATGAAGTTAATCTTTAAAAGTACACCAACAAATCGTGATTTTCTATAGCTAACTTATGAATAATGCGTCCTATCATCCTTGAGCCTTCTTTATATACAACTGTGTAGTTTCAAAACTATATTTTAAAACAGTTTTAATAAAGTTATAAAAATAATATTTTTATGATATGACACTTCATACTGTTAATTTTACTTATTAACAAGCTCAGCAGTGGCATGAGTTATACACACTGCCTTTGATAGATATAACACTTATAAGTATAAGGCAAAGTACAGCAACACTAAGTGGCCTATGAGCAAATATTTTTGACAATTTAAGACAAATGCTTTTATAACAGTTTAAAAAGTAAATAAAAAAAAAAAACTTTAGAAATCAGATTTTCAAATTTCCACCCTAAGACTTTGCAACAGTAAGCGATGTCACACATTATCATAGTTTAATTTAGATGTGCAGTGTTTCACTCAAAAGTAAGACAGAAGAAGTTCTGTCTTTCGATGATAATAACCACAATTAATTAAAAATGTATTTTTAGTACAGCACCAACTGTAAAAGGGGATAGAGAAGAAAACACGAATAACATGTAGGACAATGAAAATCTACACATCGGACAGCTTATAACACTTAACATCACTTCAAAACATTAATAATAGCATTGATTATACACGTACTAGAGTTGACACTCAATGGAGGCTACCGTTATCTGAACAGCGCTGTTGCAGAGTAGTGTCAGTGAACCGAACTACACCACCTCGGGCATGTCGGTAATGCAGTTTAGTTGTTTATTAATATTGCGTTTGTTGTAGGTTGTAAAATATTGTTTTTCTTGATGAAATTGTTTGTTTGGTTTAAGTTCCATTGTTTTATAATCCATTTTTAATATTCAATGAGAAGGTGCTCAGAGGCGCACTGCACTACCAACCCGAGCATCTGAGGCCAAAACTATGTCACCAAAATCGGTAACAGAGATTAGCATTACCTGTCCTCTCTTATACGTGTATACTCAATGATAATAGTAAACATTTCAGGAATTTAAACATACTATGGACATTTTTGCAATTCTAGCTTGGGTTTCTGATTGAAACCAAAGAATACAAACACTTTAAGAAGCGAAATGCTGATGGAGAATAGTCAAGAGGAAATTTTTCAGTAGAAATGAGATTCACACGGCCGCGCTACTCTATCCCTCCAAGCCGATTCGTTGTCTCACTCTCTCTCACTCAGTCAGCTGACTTCGCCGCGCGCTCACTCAGGATAGACTACTTAGCAGCCGCCACGGGATTTATTTGAAATTAAAATATTCCCAGACTAAATTTTTAATAAAGGCATTGCGCTTCTTATAGGTTTTGTAATCATTGTTGAAACTAAGTTATTTTCAATAACCAGACATGAGTATTTTAATACTGTTCATACAAATTTGTTAAAATTATCTAATTCTTTAATTACTTAAAGTAACTTGATTAACTCAGTTATAAAATAATCATGGACAGCTTATAATGTGCTGTTACTTTCCATAAAAAATATCACAAATCAAACGTTTTAATCACATTATCAACACTGTGTCTTTAACATTCTATGATAAAGGTACACCAGTAAAATCTCTACAGTAGTTTGTCTTCTAAAAATATAAACCTTGAAGATATTCCTTTTAAGAAAAATAATTTTAGTTATTTTATAATCTATGCAACTATTTAGAAACTCATATGTCTTTGCATTGTAAAATTAAGCTCTATAATTATATCTGGTTTACATGCATACTAACCTAGCAGATATGTTTGCTTATTACTGAAGATAAAAAAATCATATTTACACTAATTTTAAAATACACTGCCATCAAGGAGTTTCAATAAAACTTTTCTTCTTAGATCAATGATTGGCTTAAAAACTACTGAACCCTGCAGTTATAAAGTAAACATTTATTTAGTAACAATAAATTAAAAAATATATTTTGATTTCGCTTTTACAAATACAAATTTAAGTACAAAAAAAGTTGGACGTCACTACCAATTTAAGAAAACTTAGTTAACTGATTAAATGCAATAATCATAAAAAAGGGTATTTGTAGTTGAAATATTATTGATGTTTTGTGCTTTTCTATTGGAAAGACTAGATTACTTTAAGCACCGGTGTCAAATTAAATTATTGCTGTTTGTTGAAATATAGTAAGTAAAATCAGATAACTTTTAAGAGGCTTAATTAGCTGTAGTCAAACAATTGAAAGTATCAAAACTACTAACTCTCTTCCTGAACATTTTTGGAAAACTTTATAGTTATATTTTAAGCATAATTATTTTATGCCTCAGATTCTAGTTTAAAATTACTATCCACCTGATAATTTGTAAAAAAGTCATTAAAATTAAAGAGAGTATTTAAAGATAGGTCTACTAAATATTACAGTTAGAAGTTAAATTTACCTTTTCCTGTGTCATTTGTTGTATAAAGGATTAAGTCCAGATTTTGAATACATTTATTTTCTGTCTTAAATTGGATAATTGTTGAAACTGAATTTTAAAGGTCCAAGATAAAAAGGTTCAACGTTTCATTTCCATTTTTTAATACTTTATTTGATTGTCGATTTGAACTGGAAACTGCAGCACAATGAATAGACAATATGCAACAGACAATATATAATTGCCGATGCTCATTTTTCTTCTACAACAAAGTAATGTGCAATGTTTTCATGACTGAAATCACATACTAAAATATACCTAACAATAAAAAATGTCATGAAAATACAAATCACATTAAACGCTACTTAAATTAAACTAAGTTTATTTACAATATTGATCTTAATAATTTGAATAACCTATAGACAACTAACTATAAATGACATGATAAACTTAGGAATATTAACAAATGGATGGAAGCCTTGAATATGCTGATTAAAAAAATGATAAAATGTGGGTTAAAATGTAACAATTAAAATAAGCTATAACAATATATATATAATCTGATGATCCCTGATCTTTCATGGGAGTCCATGAAACACACATGCTATTAGTGCCATGGAATTATTAAATGTTTCCTTATGTACACAATCTGATAATGATTAAACTACTATGGATTGCAAACACTAACAAATATTATTTACAGATAACAGTAAATTGATTTAAAATTCCAGTTAAAATTACTGTTATCATTTAGTTAAAATACATCATTTGACAACTAAACACAAAACATATGAACATGCAAAACATTTATCTCGTGTATAAATAAAATCTCTGTAATAATCTCTTTAAAAAAATAAGGAAATCAATCTGAATTAAAATTAATCTGATCACATTTTATTTTCAGCTTGGCTATGGAAGGAAGAAATTGCGAAGGTACAAGGAATATTTTCACACAATAGATATGCTAAAGTGTCGTCAAAGAGTAAAACTACTCTATCGACAAGACATAATAGCTTTTTGAAAGCGTAAAAAAAAAAAAACAAATGAGCAGGCTATCGTGTACTGTGTTTAAGTACTAAACACACTTTAGTATCACAGCTCTGAATGACCATATTTTGGCTGTGAAAGCTGCCTACTATAATGTACACTACAGGAGTATATACAATTTACAGGCCTCCATCTAATTGTCTGTGAGGTATGTAGTCGGAGTGGCCGAGTCGACAGTACTGGGGAGTTTCCGTGGTCTCCCCCGCCATGACATACCCCTTGCTGGGGATGGGTTCTGCCTTGAGTGGAGGGTGGGGCACGTAGGTGTGGGCAGGGGTGACTGTTGGGGGCAGAGATACATAGCCAGTGGCTGTAGGGGTGGGACGCCATGCTGTACCTAGCATAGAGTATCCCGATACACCTCCCTCAACCTGTGTACAACAAACACACTACATATAGATACACAATACAAGACTTCATCATAGAGTAGAATAAAGAGAAATATCAGTCAGTGCTGCCAACTGTGACCACCACATTAAAAAATCTAGACATATATTATGTACACCTCGAAGAAATACCTTGTTTTTTGTATAGGCCTATATACAGTAAAACTACAGTAAACTATTTACAGGCAAACAGTAAAACTCAATACCTCAACAATCAACAGCTGACAGGGGCATGTCTAGCTGGCTTTGTTTTACTAGTGCATTCGACTTTTCATTGACAACTGAACATTTCAGGAAAAAATTGTTTTATGTCGTTTTCATAGAAAATAACTACTTACTACTGAGAAAGATTAAAATGCCTGTGTAATAATATTCTACAAGAAGGCTTATGGTTAACAGAAGGGATGGGTTGATTCCAAAATTCGATTCTAAATTTCACCACTCAAAGTCGATTCCGATAATGATTTCCGACTTGTCTTCGAAGATCCCGCAATCAGAAAACTGTGGCTAATGCCATTGTCGCACAAGTCAATAATAACCTTTCCGTGACCGCAGGAGATAATGATGGTAGCTTAATGGACGTGGAGGGGATGATCATAATTTTGCCGCAATCATGGGAGACAACGATAATGTACACGCGACCGCAGAAGACAATGATGATGTTTCGTTACCGTGGGGGTTATTCTGGGTTTTACCGTGACTGCGGGAGATTATATCCACACGACCTTTGGTAATGATCAGAATTTTGCCGCAATCAGGAGAGACGACAATGATGAAAACATGAACGCGGGAAAAGATAATCAGGTATAGATAGATGGTCACGGGAGATAATCATAATTTAGTTGTGATTGCCGATGACGATGATAATGTCTATATGACCATTACCGCGCGAGGTGTTCTGGATTTTGCCGTGACTATGGGAGACAATAACGATATCTACACGACTGCAGGAGACGATTAAGATGTCTACTTGACCGTGGTGGGTGATTGGAATTTTTCTGCGATCATGGAAGACGATGATAATGTCCACCGAACCATGGGGGATATTTGTGATTTTTCTGCTATCGCAGAAAACTATGATGATGTCTTCTGGACCGTGGGGGACAATAATGATCTCCACATGACCGTAGTAGATATTTAATATTTTACCATGATCGCAGAAGACGTTTTATAAAACTTTTCCCAGACTGCTGAGCGATATTTAGGATTTTGACTGAATCTTTGCTTGAAATTTGGATGCCTGAAATTTTTTGTTGAAAAATAAATTCAACATAATATGTATTTATTTTTTTACAATTGTATTAATCTTGTTTTGCTTTACCTTTGTCTCATAATAAAAAAATGAAGTTTGTGGATTTTTTTGTTATGTAAGAAATGTATTTAATAACTATTACATGCAGCTGTTGCCACTATTCAATGTATTTCTATATACAAGAGATGAATAGTTAGGAGGAAGGAAGATAAAATGATTATAAACAAACTTAAAGCAAAAAACTCGTCTGGAATTGATGAAATCTCGTCAAAAATACTTAAGCATTGCTGCAATGAACTAGCACTACCATTGGCTGATTTGATAAATAAGTCCCTAAAACAAGGCATCTTTCCTTCACTACTTAAAATAACTAAAGTATACCCAAAATTTAAAAAAGGTAGCACATTAGAAGCAAGCAACTACAGACCAATTTCCCTCGTTTCCACCTTCTCCAAAATATACGAAAAAGTTGTTTTAAAAAGACTTTTAGACCACTGCACAAATCACAACCTACTAAACAACCTTCAACATGGATTTACAAAAGGGAAATCCACAACAACAGCAATAATTCAGATGGTTGAGTCCCTGATTGACAGCCTAGATGAAGGAAATCTAACAACAGGAATCTTTCTTGATTTCAGTAAGGCATTTGACTGCCTTGACCACCAGCTAATCATTAAAAAGCTGGATTCCCTGGGGGTATCAGGGATAGTAAGAGAATGGTTTCAAAGCTACCTTACAGACAGGAGTCAGTTTGTAGAACTAAGGCACAGAGATAACAGCCTAATAAGAAAAACAAGATCAAATTTTCAACCAATAAATCGAGGAGTTCCCCAAGGTTCAGTTATGGGTCCGGTACTGTTTATTCTTTTTACCAACGATTTGCCGCAACAAATAGGAGACGCCTGCCTTACTCTTATGTATGCTGATGACACAACCTTAGTGTTTAATGAACCACTAGCTGAAAATCTAGAAGTAAAATCCTATGTGTCACTCAGTATGGCCTACCAATACTGCTATAACAATGATCTCGCAGTAAACACGTCTAAAACAACTCAAATAGCTTTTGGCCGTAAATCTCAAGAAGTGCCACGACTCCCAGATGTAGAAGTGGAAGATGAAGCTAAGTTTTTGGGCATCACACTCGACAAGAATTTAACCTGGACCCCTCATGTGGACAATATATGTAAGAAATTAAGTTCAACCATCTATGCTCTTAAACATATAAAAAATGCAACAGATGACATGACAACAAAAGTAGCATACTTTGCACTTTTCGAGTCGCATATGAGATATGGACTTGTAGCATGGGGTGGAACCTCTGCCACTAACATGCAAAGAGTTCTCAGAAAACAAAAAAAGGCAGTCAGAATAACTGCAGGACTCCACAGACTCGACAGCTGCAGGGAAGCATTCAGGTCACTCAAAGTACTTACCCTTGTAGCACTCTACATCCAGGAAGTTGTGTTATTTGCAGTAAGAAATAACCCTACAAGGCGTGGCGAAATGCACCAACACAACCTGAGAAACACCATGCAGTACAACCTTCCACAACATCGCACGGCACAGTTTGAAAAGAAACCTTCATACGCAGGAATGAAAATCTACAACAGGCTACCTCCAGATCAAGTCAGAAGATGACCTCAAACCAGCTTTGCATCAATGGCTCATTAATCGACCTTTCTATTCCTTAGAAGAATACCATCAACAGGTCTTTGACTAAACAACACCTCAACCAAACATTTAGAAAAAATTGTAAATTGACGCTACTACTATTCTTAATGAATGTGTAAATAAAGATTATTTGTCTATTGTCTATTGTCTAATAAAGTAGTTTTGAATTGAATTAAACTGCCATGACCACGGAAAGACAATAATAATGTTTCCATGATCGAGGAACATATTCAGGATTTAGAAGTCATCACAGAAGATGACGATGATGTCACCACTACCTAGAGAGATGATTGAAAATCTTAGGCCAGCACAACTCTTGTTAGAATGAAATTTTATTTTTATTTTCGTAAAAGGCTATTTTTATTTACCTTCAATATGATGTTTATTTAATGGGTTTATAAAGATTGAAATTTAAATTGCCTTGTTAGCATTTTTTATTGCTGGATTCCTTTTTCTTTACTTTAACAGACACCCCATTGCCACAAAATACTTTGAGGAAGTACATAAAGACAGGGGTGGTGTAGTACAATCAATCCAGACAATTTGTTAAAACTAAAAAAATATTGTATTGATATCGAGAATCAATAAATATTGGTATCGATACATCACTAGTAAAATGTTTTAGCATTATAGGCCTATACTATTTTTAATAAATGGAATTGGAATCGAGAATCGGTTTCAAAGAAACAGAATCAAAAATTTCTGCAATCGACTAGTTAACAGTTTGCATTAGAGACAACTCTACTGAAATTAATAAAACAGAGTTAGCCTAATACCTTTCCATTAGGCCTATTTCAGTTAGTTTGATTGTTTTCTTCACAAAAAACTAGAAAACTTTAGTATACTATGAAGAAGACACAAGACAAGGTCTTCTATTTCTGTTGACTAGATTTGTTATTCTTTATGGGAAATATGGATGAAAAAAGAATGTCAAGAGTTAAAAGGACAGAGTTAAGATAAAAATGGATGCTGAGTAGAAAAATACCAAAGGTTACTGCTTAGCAGTTATGTTCATCATAATTATATAAATTATTACAGACGGAAACAATTATCTATGCTGTCTTAAATAAAACACAAGGTTAGTGTCATGTGGTCCAGTTCATTATAACTACTTAAGTAGCTACATAGGGAAGAAAAGAATACATTTAATGTAGAAGAACGCTCATGGTTACTGTTACTAGGAATAGTCTAAATAGCTACAAAAGGAAGAAAAGAATCTATGTAGCGTAAAAGAATACCCCTGCTTACTGCCATGAGTTACAGTTCCTGTTGAGGAAAAACATGTATACTTGTTTTACAACTTAAATAATTTTGAGATAGATAATCTGAGTGTGTTAAAGTTAAAACAAAAAATTAAATTGAAGTATTTTAAATAGGATACATTTTGTTGACAAATATAAATTGATTTAAAAATATCTCAGTATGGGTTAAATATAAATATTTTGTTGTTATTTGTTTTGTAATGACTGTCATTTTTTAACAGTAATAATAACCTTCTAAATGGCTACATAGGGAAGAAAATAATCTACAGTCTCTAGAAGAAACCTCAAGGTTTTACTGCTCCGTTGATATATTTGCACAAATAATTATTTAAAACATTTATTAAACCACAGAAAAAGAAAACAATCAGTAAGCCATACCTCAGTAAGATTTGGGGAAGACTTGACCAGGCAAGAGGTGCTTCCCCCTAACATGACATACGGCTCTCCCCTCTCCCATCGACCGGAGGATGACTCACTGCTGGTAGACGATGAAGCCTTGTTGCGCTGTCGCAAGGAAGTGGGAGGGGAGCCGTCATGGAAAACTCCATCCAGTGATGTTGCTCTCTGTTAACACAAGTCAGAAGTCTCTCAGAAAACCAATAAATTGTGGTTAGTTGGCCATCGTTCACAATAAAATCAATATTTACCCTTTATGGACATATAAACAATTTTTATACCTCGGTTCTCGGTACAAAATCGGTACGGTACACGGTGTCACGTTCACACAGACTGGTTAACATTTAAACAAGCACTAGGGTTGGTCGCCCTAGGAATATAAGATTGAAAAGGAAACTTGTTTGAGTATGCAAAGAAGAGTTTTGTTGAAAGTAGGAAAATCATACAACCCAGTATCGCATGATATGATTAGGGTTTTGACCAGAGCCATACCACTCAACCTGCTCATTGAAGAAAGGACTAGGATTTTGGAAGACAAGGCCGCGGATAGAACTACGTTGGAAAATGGAAAGCAAGAGTGCAAGAAGAGAGGAGACATTAGACGAGTGGCAAATGTGCTGTGAGCAGATGAGAAAGAAAGGGAAGCGTTCAGGTATATGCCAAACATCAGAAGGAGACTGGAACAAGATTGGGAGATAGGCCATTATTGAACACAGTTTGTCACAGGACAAGGAAAATTTCAAGGAAAATTTGTGGAGATTCAACTTGGTGGAAGAGGAAGTATGCAGCTGCGCAAAAAAAAAACCACGAGTCACATATTGATGAATGTCCATTTCAGGAGGCAAATAGGGGGGAATAGGAAGAAGTCTTGGATAGGAAAGGTCTAGAGATGAGAAAATAAAACTTGATGAGAGACAAGGAAACGAGATGTTTAGGAAAGTAGCCAGGGAAATATGAAGAAGGGTAGGTACATACAGGCTTTTAAAATGAAAAAAAGAAACAAACAAAAACAAAGAAAGAAAAGGAATGAAAACTTCCCCATGAAGGGGAGAGGAAAGGTTAAAGCGAATCCAAACGACCCATATCGCTCAGGGCAGTAGGGGGTAGGGGAGTCGTGTTGTTAGGATTTTGGACACTTAGTGTGTCTGGTCAACGAGTCAAAGTGGCCAAAGCCTAAGAAGAAAGAATTTTCACGGGGAAACGGCCTGGCAAATAAATCAACTTAATAAATTAATCAACTCTTTGCAAAGGAATCTGATTATGGACTGAGACTCAAGGGCCAACATTTTTGACCTGACCCGATGTCGATAAGTTTGGCCTGCAGACCCCTCCTTTTTTTATTTAGTATTTGAGTAAACTTACATTTTAGAGATGCAATCTTGACAGTAGAGGGATTGATTTTTGTTGTCTTACCTGACTGTGCAGCTGGTCAGCCTCAGTGCCGGAGTCTGAGCTGATGTGAGTGCCATGTGTGAGTGACGAGGCGACACTCTCATGACCTGAGCTACACCCAGAACTGTCTCCGTCTCCCTCCCCTAGACTGTTCAGGTCCTCCCCTCGCCTCTCACCCAAGCCTACCACTCCACCCTTCTTCTGCAGCAACAGCTGCAAAGACAACATTTTATTGCCAAACCAAATCTTTAGGAATTAGGAAATTTTAAAATTATTATCATTATCATTACCAATTGAAATGAGGACGCAGCCTAAGAGGATAGAGGATAGCTTAGAAAAGGATCGAGTCGGATAGCTAACTTGAAAAGTTGGTTTTAGACTCGTTTACTAATACGAGTTCAAATCTGTGACACCCAAAACTGTATTGCTGCCCATTGACTAGAGTCCTAATAGATAAACACGTATACAACACACAAGTCATTTACTAGTTCCTTACACAATTCACAGATTTTTTCTCGGTGACAAAAATTGAGGAACAATTTCCAGTTTTCCTGGTTTTCAGGTCGGCTAAACACACTGCAACTGTGGCCATCACATGAACAATAAAGACTACACTGTCTTTTAATTTTAAGTTTTTGAACATTTCACACCATTTGAAAAAAACAATAAAAAATAACAAAAGCGTAGAGGTAACTATAAAACAATTTTAACTTATTAACTTACTAACTTTTAACTTATTGTAGGGATGGACGGGTCCCGAAATTTCGGGAATTTTTCGGGAAAAAAATAATCCCGATTATCGGGACGGGATTACATTTGACTCGGGAATTTTTCGGGACGGGATTTGGTCCGATCGTCGGCGATTTTTCCGCTTCGCGAGTGCCGATAACGCCGTTATTGCGAGCGATAGGTCCGCGAACGCAAGAGACGAAGTCGTTTCGACGATAACGCCGTGACCGCGGAGTCATCACGACGATCGCCCCGTGGCCGCGATTATTGGACCGACGATCGCACCGTGACCGCGAGTCATAACGACGATCGGGCTGTGACCGCGGAGTCATAACGACGATCGGGCTGTGACCGCGGAGTCATACCGACAGTCACGCCGTGACCGCGAGTCATACCGACGATCGCGCCGTGACCGTGGAGTCCTACCGACGATCGCGCCTTGACCGCGAGTCATACCGACGATCGCGCCGTGACCGCGAGTCATACCGACGATCGCGCCGTGACCGCGGAGTCCTACCGACGATCGCGCCTTGACCGCAAGTCATACCGACGATCGCGCCGTGACCGCGAGTCATACCGACGATCGCGCTGTGACCACGAGTCATACCGACGATCATGCCGTGACCGCGAGTCATACCGACGATCGCGCCGTGACCGTGGAGTCCTACCGACGATCGCGTCTTGACCGCGAGTCATACCAACGATCGCGCCGTGACCGCGAGTCATACCGACGATCGCGCCGTGACCGCGAGTCATACCGACGATCGCGCCGTGACCGCGGAGTCCTACCGACGATCGCGCCGTGACCGCGGAGTCCTACCAACGATCGCGCCGTGACCGCGAGTCATACCGACGATCACGCCGTGACCGCGAGTCATACCGACGATAACCCCGTGACCGCGGAGTCATACCGACGATCGCGCCGTGACCGCGAGTCATAACGACGATCGCGCCGTGACCGCGAGTCATGACGACGATCGCACCATGACCGCGAGTCATACCGACGATAACCCCGTGACCGCGGAGTCATACCGACGATCGCGCCGTGACCGCGAGTCATAACGACGATTGCGCCGTGACCGCGAGTCATGACGACGATCGCACCGTGACCGCGAGTCATACCGACGATAACCCCGTAACCGCGGAGTAATACCGACGATCGCGCCGTGACCGCTAGTCATACCGACGATCGCGCCGTGACCGCTAGTCATACCGACGATCGCGCCGTGACCGCGAGTCATGACGACGATCGCGCCGTGACCGCGGAGTCATGCTGACGATCGAGCCATGATCGCGAGTCATACCGACGATCATGCCGTGACCGCGAGTCATACCGACGATCTCGCCGTGACCGCGAGTCATGACGACGATCGCGCCGTGACCGTGAGTCATACAGACGATCACCCCGTGACCCGCGAGTCACAAGTTTCTATAGGTACCTGTAAATTGTTACCCATTTTTTTGGTTTTTATAGATCAGTGCCACAAATGGTAAAAATTGATTTCGTATGTATTTTTTGGTAACTGCAACACAGTAGAGTTCGTGCGTTTCCTGGTGAAGCCTGGAGGGTGGGTGGTTAGAGTGGCTCTAAACCGGTTTTGTATGGGCTTCAACCCTACCCCCAGGCTTCATCAGGAAACGCACGAACTCTACTTTCTTTTTATGAACAGAAAAAAATCCCGTCCCGTCCCGAAAATCGGGAAGGAAATAAAAATCCCATCCCGTCCCGTCCCGAACTAAAAATTCAATCCCGTCCATCCCTAACTTATTGCCATGTGAACAAACAGAAATATAGAATCAGTTCAAAATTGTGTTACCTCCTGGTCCGGGGTAGCAATACCGAGGTCTTGTTTCTCCTCTAAGGGTGGTTTCTGTCCCCAGCCATACAGGCTCAGATGAGTGTGATAGTCTGGGTCACTTGATTTCTCCTGAAAATTTTGTTCAAAGTTTACACACATGTAAAAATATATACTAATTAAAATTAATTTAAATTTTTTTCAAACCAGACAAACCCAAAACTATTGAATATCTAAAGAATGTTGCCAAAAACTAAAAATGTAATTTGAACTTTGTTGTTAAAGTTTTAGCGTAACATGTATGATTGTATTTTGATAAAATGCTGATCAAATAATGTTTTATCTGAGATTTCTCTCAAAAAGATTTGATAGAAAAAGCTGAAAAATTGATCTCAAGTATTGATTCACATGTGCCCCCCTTCTTGATTAGAACCTTAGGTTGATTCTTAGTTGGTTAGCAAATCTGTTTAAATGCAGATTTTTCACAAAATCAGCACTTTTTCTAATTTAAATTAAAAAAACAACACCTAAGTCTAGCCTGAAGTAATGTGAAAAAGAAGCTTGGGCCTAGTGTCCTAGGACAAAAAAAACATTCTGAGATGGACAAAATTAAAATGACCATTATTTTGAAATTTTAAATTGGACCAAGTTCATTTTATATCTTAACTTTCCTATCTAAACATACATATTAAGTTTCATAAACCGAACAATCCGAAGATATAAATATATTTTTTATGTAAGAAATACACAATGGTTATATCTGATTAACAAAACAATTTTGACAAAAATATTACACAGATTTTCTTTTTATTTTGACCCATAAAACCATTTTGCGATGTCTGACTTTGGGACACTGGTCAGGTCAGTTTTACTTAAATAAGTCTCCTTAAAACTTTAGGCCTTAGTCACAGTTTATCAAAATAGCTGAAGTAATAAGCTTAGTTCTGTAAAACAGGGTTGAAAAATAAATTTGTCATTGGCAGCAGCAGTCTAAGCATTACACTACACAGCACTATTCTACAGTATATAGCAAGGACTACTATATAAATGAGTGTAAATGTAAATAGCTTACAATGGCTGGTGCAAGTCCAGGAGGGAGTTTCACTTCGACCTCTTTCATTTGTTCATAGCACCTCCATAATCTGAAACATTGCCACAATGCAGTAACTTTCTATGTTTAATATGTTAAATCCACCATGAAATGGTATTTTCATAATGAATATACTTAACAGTCATGGTGTTTTAAGTTGTATAAACTGTTTTACACATATTTCAGAATACTTTTAAACATTTATACATTGTAATGATCCTTCTGTTTCCATGAAAATATACCAATAAAACTACTGTACAGTATTATCATAATCATAAAACTTAAGAATATTGGGAGCAGAACCTGTACCTCTTAACCTCTGCTCTTTGAACTGTCAAATTAAAATATTTAAAGCTGACTTCAATTATTATATTTGTTTATTTACAATCTTCCAATAGCTCCATAAGCTTAACATACAAACTTTACACCCCAGTGGGGCTAAGCCCTGAGGTTAAATTTAAAACTGATATGCCTATATGTTAATCGAGACAAAGACGAATCCAACGAATCAAAAATCATTATAAGTGGTGTAACTAACACGACTTTGTTTTATATATATAGATAATGAATATAACGAGATAATGAAAGTAATATAAACTCACCGCTTTCCAAGAAAAGCAACTGCCAAGATGACAAAAATCAAAACCAGGCAAACAACCACCCATACAATGATCCAGAAGTCCTCTTTGGCCCCTGGAACATAGCAAATACAACCACAGTGTAATGACCACTGACTACAGCAGTGTGCAAAATAACACTGTAAAAGCTGTTAAACACAGTGCAAAGTAGTGACTCTAGGTTGTTATGCCAATTGAGATAAATAGATATACATTATAAACAATCACAGTGTAAAGTCTACTGACTACAACAGTGAAATTAAACACTGTAATAGCACTAAACCAAATGTTTGTAAAGGTAAAAGGTTCCTAAATTCTTTTACAACACACCTTCTATTGAAAAGTGTGACAAACCCCCGCCCTCCCGTAAAATGTATATTTTACTTAAAGAGAGGAAAAGGAATTGGGATGAGATACTAGAAAAAAACACAACTATTCTGAGACAAAATACTGTATTATTTTAGTTAAGATGGGCGGATTGATCTTAATTTATGTTGATAAAGTAATGGTGAAACAAGTAATTCAGTGGGAAGGATGAGCTTACATTAGCTTAATTAATATTTAATTTGCTAGTTAGTTTTTTTTTTACTGAAGAGCTTCCGGAGATTGACCTAATGATCGACCCACTTTAAAGTATTTCATCCTAAATGATGGTTTTGTCATTTTTTGAAAGTAAAATTTTACAGAGGAATATTTTCCCCCCATCTCATTACAATGCCTCTTGCAGATTGTCTATGTTGATGTTGTAAGGATCAGTTAAATCTTACAAATATTTTTGTCATAAGTGTTTGGTTAGTATTTCATACATTTTCTTGAGGTTCTTCATATGATTTCATATTAGGCATATAAGATGAGATGCTTTAAAACCCTCTTTAGGCATGTTTCTTTCATGTAAGTGGGTGACTCAGTCGGTAGTGAGCCATACTACAAATCCAAGGCAGCGATGTAGTTTTTGCAATACAAAACGTGGTGCCACTTAAATATTTATCAGTAAAGTTCATTCTTGCACTGTTCACCTCTTGCTTTGTTTGATAACAATAAACCAGCAATCCAATCTATTCTCCTTGCTCCATGCGCACACACAGAGGGGATATGTGGGGAAAACACAGATTTAATAGAGGCTGTCAACCTCTTTAATAAAGAAATATTGACACTACTATGGTGAAATTTAAATTACTGCAAGGGCGAATACAGTAGAGTCCCGCAAACTCGGCGTAATGTGGACTGGAAGGGTGCCCAGTTTGTGAAATGCCGGGTTATCGGGAACTAGGGTCAAAAATAAGAACAGTACAATTTTTAAGCTTTTCAACCAACTTTTTTATTTACATTTATATTACAAGTCAGTATTAAGTTATCAGATATAGTACAAAAAATCCTTGGTACGAGTTACGAATGATTTGACTTGAGCTGGCTTGAGTTCATGTTTAACTCGGACTCAAAAAATCACTAATTTTCGATGGCCGAGTTATCCAGACTGCCGAGTTTGCGGGACTCTACTGTAGTGAGAATCCTATTCTGTGTCATGATCGACTATACTATGTTGTCACCCTGAACAGCAGACATTTGATTCTAACCAAGGTAAAAATTTCCTTAATCCTGTTGGTTTTAATTTTTAAGTTCATAAAATGTAGGCCTACATGAACATACAATGGATTCATAAACACTGGTTTACCCAAGTTACTTGTAGCAATTTTGTTCAACATCATGGTTCATAACAAAAATAGAAACTAGTAAGTAGAGGCACCCAAACTTAGAGCGAGAGTCAAATGAAGCAGTACCCGAAATTGACCAGTACATAAAACAAATAGACCAGGCATAATGACACTGCAGCAACAACGCCAGGTGCACATTTCTGAGCAAGTTATTACAAAATTATTAAAAAAATTAAGCGATTAAAGATCAACTAGATTTTTTACCATTCACAGATCGGTTTGGTTATCATAAAGAATTATTATCTGTACATTTAAAGTTTAACCGGAAATTTAACCCTTTGGAGACCAACCAGTACTTTTAACAGTTTCTGTAATGTTATAGAAAAAATGCTATAACTTTTGAAAAGCAGCCCTCTTTCACATTTCTTGCATGCTATTCTTGATTTTTAAAAAAATGTCATAATAATAGTTTTTTAAACTTCCGATACATTGGAAGTTCGTCTTTTTAGCACAAAATAAAAACTTCTGAAAAATCGGTAGTTGGTCTCCTAAGGGTTAAAAAAGGGAGGTTAAAGTATTTTAAAATATTTATCAAGTTTTTCTGGTTCGGGTCAAAAGTGATCAAAGTGATAGTGGAAGCCGTCTGCAACGTTTGCATTGAAAATTCACAATGATCACAGGAGATTACCATGATGTTAACACAAATGCAGTAAGGTGGTCAAGACTTTCCTGCAATCACAGGATTTTGGAATCGTTATTGAATCGAAAGTCGTAAAATTTTATGATTATCGAAAGATTTGTGTAATCAAGGACAGGAATTGATCCATCCACATTTTCACGGTTTAACAACAAAATCCACAACTGATCAGCTTGATAGAGATTTGCTACACACTTTTGATGGACTATGATATTTTTATCGCAGCATTTAGAAAGAATGATGGGCTGTTAATTCACTTTGCCTTTTCAAATGTCAACAACATGTCTACAAGACCAGCCATTCTGATACAAGTGTCGTGCAAGCTGTTTTTAGTTTTTGATCATGTGTTTGAGCTTTTAGAAAATAGCTTTACTCATTTATTTCATACTCATATACTTTATACATGCCATAACCAGGCAAGGACGTAACACTGATACACTGATCCAAAATCATCTATCACCTTCATTTGTACTGAATAATCTGAAGAAACTTAAGGTAACAAAATAAGGTACAGCTCTCTGGACCAATCCTTAAAAATCATCATTTATACATCAGGAGAAGATCATGCATATCTGCACTGCATCACCAGGTAAGCAAGATTAAGAATGCTCTGGATTCCAGGAGGTTGTCCTAGGCACCTTTTTGATATCCAAGCTGTTTCTGATAGCACAACACTTCAAAGGCACAACGATTTCGTGAGCAGACGTATTGAGTCACTCTACAGATTGTGGAAGCAAGACTGACTCAAGGACGCCTCCAGAATAGGGTCTTCTCTCTTCTTCTCTGAAATCTGGTAGCAGAGAATCTTATGAAAGTGAGGTCCTTGCCAAGAGTATGCTGATAGATTGGCTAACCGATGTTTGATCCTGTTTGCTGGAATCTCAGTCATGAGCTGCTCCTTCTGATGCTGCACTATATGTATTTTTCTTTAACTTTTCATTGCATTATTTCAAATTAAACTAAACTAGCCTACAACTAAAATGAAAAAGGAAAACTTCATAAATATTTAATGACATGCCTTAATGCTAAAAACCTTTATTACAAATTAAAAACACATAACTAACAATATATCTTCAAGTCAAAATTTGTTACTAAAACATAGTGATAAATCTATTAAAAATTACATGACAAACATAAAAGATCAAATTAAATATCTAAAATATATCACAAAATTTTAACAATATTTATAAATTATGTCTATCTAAAATAATAAGTAGGTAATATTTGAACAAATAACCAAAATAAAATCACTCAAGAAATAACACCACCAATTGACCAGGAATGCTATTTCATGAATAGCCAATATTTAAGAAAAAAATATCAAGCATAGACTCTGCCCCCTTGGTTTAATATTGAAATGTTTTGCAATTTGAAAGTGGTTTTTATGTAAAAATAGAACAAATAACATTACCAGAACATATAACAAAATTTTGGTTGACAAAGAGAATGCAATTATTATTTATAGATAAAACACAACAATGCAGTTTTCAACCAAATGAACTGTGAGGATATGCAAATGGTTTACATGGGAGAGGGAAACGTCCTTCAGATGGCATTTAGTTGGTGTTTTTCCTAAACTTACAAAAGCTCATATACTTTCTTATAACTATGTGATGATCTCTTATACATTTTCAACTAGGGAGGAGAACCACTATTTTATTATTGTTTGAATAGTAACACTATCAACAAGGATGATGTATTAAAATTACTTCTGGTATTTCAGTTTTTGGAAATCGTTTACCAAACTCAAAACTCCAAAATAATAGAATAAAAAGGTTCCCCAGGATGTCTACGAGATTCCACAAAAGAAAATCTGTGACCATAACAAATTTTATATAATACGATAATTTTGTATACATATTTTTTCTGTTGTAAGAGGAAAAATTACATAATTTTTGTTTCAACTGAAGAATTTATACTATTGAATGTATAACTTATACAGAGTAAAGAGGTTTGGCATTTCATTCATGCAGTAGCAAAGCTGTTTGTTGAAGAGAAGAGAGTGGCTCTAGTTTGTATGTAACAACGGGAGGTTTGTATTCGTCCGATGTTTTATTAGGTCATAATGCAGTGAACTCGAGAAGTGTTTATTTTCTAAACACATGTATGCTTTTATACCCTACTCGGGTTTTTTACGTTTGCCTCGGGTCTTCTTTGTTGACGGAACGCATTTACCCAAATTATAACTGATTGCCGCATGAAATATTGTCCATCAAGGGAACCGTGAATTGCAAACAAAAGGCAAGCTGCACAGCAATAATGAAGTCAATCAAATCAAATCAAAGTGAGGGATAAACAATACACATCAGAAAATGAGCATCCTTCAAATGCCTATGGCAACAGAAAATAATATTAATACAAACTAGTGATGGGTCGGTACTGGTACCGGTTCTTGGCCAAAATTGATTCTCGGTTCTCGGTTCCAGGGACATCGGTACCTTATTTCTTAGTTAAAAAAATAATATCATCATCTCAAAGTAATATGATAATCGTCGTATTCTGAGATCACTGCAAAATCCGAAATATCTTTCTCAATTACTGAAACATTATCACTGTTTTTCACAATCCCGGCAAGATCATGAACATCTTCCGCGGCCGTGTAGACATCATCATGAACTCCCGTGGTCACGGAATCGTCATCAGCAATCATGAAATCATGAACATCTCTTGTGGCCAAGTAGACATCATCATCGTCTCCCGTGATTGCGGTAACGTTATCGTCGTCATCCGCGGAAACATCATCATTGACTCCCGCAGTCACGGAAACGTCATCGTGTAGACGTCATCATCGTCTCCCGCGATCGCGGCAAAATCAAGAACTTTTTAACGTGAAGTTCAAAAGCGGAACCGAAATTTGACGTGAAGTACTGACCTTCACTAAGACAAACCTATAATTTTTTTTAGATAAACAACCGCCACTATTTCTTCTATTCAACCAACAGCCCACAACACCAAGAATTTATAAGAAATGTAGGTACTGTCCTCCGCCTTGCATAATACCATATATTGATTTCCTATGTTTACTTCTAATATTGGTGTATAAACAAAAAAATCGACTTTTTTTTCTTTCATACAAATCCGTCACTTTATATACCTTTAAATAGAAATCAATGACTTTTCAGGGACTTCTCTAACCACATTGTAAAATCAGTGTTCTGCGATATCACTGGCTTCCTGAATGACACATTTGAAACACAAACTCGGACCGTCAACTATACAGTGAAAAATCTATTTTCATCAAAAACCTTTGTAGCCAAAAATGATCACCAGCTGAAAAGGAAGTGTCATTAGTCTAAGCCATACCTGCACTGTAGCAACTCCCTTCTCCGGGTTCTGACCAAGGACCGTAGTACACAGTGTCGTCATCAAAGTTGACAGCCCTTACAGAGAAGGAGTAAGTGTGGTGAGGCCCCCCAGAGTTGCAGTCCTCCACTGGAACCAATGACTGATTTCCTGAAAAATAATTTTAAATTAAAACTAATTTTCACAACAAAGATCTTCAGTGACATAACTTTGTTCATTGTGTGAGAAAGTAAGCTATCATGTGAAGACTGAAAAGTAAACTGTGCAGTCCTAAAGCTTATGCTTAGCTTGGCAAGCGCTCGTACTTTGGAGCTTTTTTAACCACGACCCTTCAAAGTTTACGATTTTCAAATTGGATACATTGACGATAAGTGAAAACAATTTGAATTCTTTAATCAGAGGTTAGGATCCTTAATAACCCTGGAAAACTTATCACAGAGCTATTATTTTTACAAAAAAGAACATTTGAAATGAATAAATTACAATGAGAAATAATGGAAAGTGAACTGAAAAATAAATGTATGTGCTGTACAGTATATATACATCTTTAAAATAATTGACTCTGTCAGTAATATGGTCCATTAGGTTAGGTTATGTTATAAGAGAATCAACAGGAACTGATCATAAAATTCAAAATTCCAAACCTAATTTTCTCTACTTACTATAACGGTTAGTAATTTTTTGCAGTGCATGGTGTAAAAATGGTGTAGGGTAAAAAATTCCGAGACATGCAGGAGGATAAAAGCTATTGACAAAACATAGTCATGCGCTGGAAAAATGACTAAGTTTGAAAATCATTTAAGAGCTCACATTAGTGCTTTTAAATGTATAATAAACATAATAGAAATTATTAGGTTATTAGTCAAAGACCCTGGATTGGATAACTACTCAAAAAGTTGAATCAAAACACTGATTCCATACAATCATTATACACGTTTGGTTTAACCCATAATTAACTTAACCATAACTATCTCTTTGTCAGAATGATGGCTAAGTTTTGTTGCCTAGAAATTGCTATTAAAGCCAATCATTATCAAACATATTCATATGTTTAATTCATGCTTTTTTATTTGTGTTTATTAGGTTGAGAATATTTCCAATGCCATTTAGATCAAATCATTTTCTTAACCTTGAGAAACCAAGTATTGTTAGTAATTTGCTAAGGGAGCTTCCTTAGTTTCACCAGATTCTATTTCTATGTTGGAGGCATAACATTACTATTTACACAAGGACAACACAAAACATCTATTAGACAACACATGTTCATGCATAACATAGTCATAGTATGTTTTGCATTCATGTTTTATATGTTTCCCCCACCAACCTGAGGTTCGAAATATCCGTTCAGAGCATTCTCCTGCAAAAAGACATTATGGTTACAGTTACCACTGAAATGGATAACGTCTGTCCACAAAGTGATTCTTTTAAGTTGTCTAAAACCAAAAATATTTTACATAATGACGAGCTTTTTATTTAAGACCCACTATATTGTTTAAGATATAGCCTACTTCTTCTTTGAGAAATATAAATTACTACAGGTGGGCGAGTACTCAACTTTCGGGGTAATTACTCGACTTTTTCCAAATAGTAGACCTCGAGTCGAGTAGTTATAAAAAGTACCACTTCAACATTTTCTACACCCAACAAACAACCATCCATATCATGGTTCGGCAGAGCTAGCAAGAAGACTACTTTCCTACATTATTAGGTCTCGATAACGATACAGTAAGTTAAACAAATGTATTGAATGAATCTATCGAGTTAAAGTAGTAGATACTCAACAAGGGAGTCTCGTGATTAGTAAATCATAGGCAGATGATTCTTGAAGATATTTTTAAGAACAGTATTACATTTAGTTTGAATTGCCATCAAAATATTTTATACAAAAATATATTAATTCAACAAATAAATACGGTAATTTTTTACTTTAATGAGTAGATGTCACCAGAAAAGCGGTCGGTATTGGTGTTTAGTTTTTGAAGCCGATAAGTTACTGCAAGGAAGATCAATGCATCGGAATGACACAATCTCATTGGGTCTTGCTTGGTAGAAATTTCAGTTCCACTTCAGTGCAGTGTTGCCAGAGGGACAATATTTTTTTTACTTTTACAACTGTGGTATAGTGGCGTAAACAAAGTATAAGTATTTACTTTTCCAATTAACTAGGTACACATTTTCTAATGAGTTTATATAAACATGATTTAAATTAGTCAAACTATTAACTTTTGTTTACGAATTAAAAGTTATAGCAATTTTACAATAATTTGGCCAACATTCACCATAATGGTGTAATGATAAATATGCAACGTCAGTCCTGCAAAACAGCTGTTTAATGGGGATAAAAGCAGAAGCAGAATCAGCAGAACGGCTAGAGAGAAAGAGAGATGGCTTAACAACCAAAATGGAGTGATATGTCAACGTCAGTCTTGAAGGTTTTTACTTTAAAGTGAATTTGCAACTTCTACAACCAACAGGCAACCTGCACCAATCCAAATTAAACTAAATGCTCAAAGCAGGCCTAATGCCCTGATTATGCAAATGATGCTTTTTACTGTGCATAATGAGCTTGAAAATATTTTGAAAAGACAAAACACTAAACAGGATTGGGTTGGTTCATTCTGATTTTAGTGGCATGATGGAGGACAGTGTCGAAGTACCAACAAAAATAGTTTTATAAATGAAGCAGACAAAACTATCAAGCTAATAGATTCATTAAAAGAAGAGGGCACTGTACATGATCTTCTTAAGAAAGGAGACCAAATTGCAGAACCAGAACTAAAACAAACCATGATGAAGCAAAACATTGCTGAATTAGTAAAACTAACTGACGATTGAATCCAATGTATGCAGTTTTAAAGACTGATACTGTTGATTGCCCCAGCTTTGCAATATCCCTTGTTTTGTTCCTGATGACAACAAAGTCTATAGGTTAATGTTCCTCAGTGGTGACAACCAGTGGATCTTTTGGTTGATTGATGAAAGTATTGACATCAAAAAAGTCCTCAGGGGTTTGATGAAAAAGTTCCAGAGTGGCTTGTTGGACCCAGTTGATAATCCACATTTACAATTATCTGTGTGTTTCATTGATAGAAACAAAGCAATTTGTGGGATAATATTACAAGTTCAAAATGAAAACAGAATAAAACTGCTTCATTGCGACAGCATTATTTCCAAAATAGCAACGAGAACAAGCGATAAGTCATACAAGTTCGATAAACACAACAAGTTAGATGATGCTGCTCTATCTGTGCAACTGCACTCAGATAGTACAGAAGAGGGTTTAGCAATGTTAAGATATATAGTGATAAATCTATTAGCAACCACAGGATCTATCTAAGTTGTGCATTTTTCCTAGTCAAGTAGTACAGCCTACAAGAGGTCTCACATAAAGGTGCCCTATGATATTCCAGTTTTAGCTGGCATTAATTCCCAAGAAATCTATGTGATTGCCAACACACAATTGATATTGATACATTCGAAGAAATATCATGTGATTTTGCCGTGGATTCGTAGTCTATGGCGCTATGCTACCAACTGAAGCACAGACACACCCATGGTTTATAGGAATTTTAATAATCTAATAAGACTTACAGTATTCAGTTTATGGCTTGCTTCATAACTATTTTATCACAGGGATTGGTAATGAATGTAGTGCATGAAAAACTTCAAAAGTTTGATTTTAAACTGCCACCAACATTAAGCTTCAATTCTTCAAAGCATATGTTATAATATAGTTTACCTGTGCAGTTCAGAACTTCTGTTAGGTTGTGCTCATCACCAATCACTTTGTTGAGAACTTCGTATTTATCTAACAGTCCAGCTGCGTATATCGGAGGCTTCCACAGAACTTCTACTTGAGACGAGTTGACAAACTTCACCATAGGCCTGTCCATTTTGCCAGGTACTGAAAACGTATGATTTGTGAGAATTAAGAAATATTGTTCTAAGGTTTCTAGTCTTACAAGGTAAGATGAGACCAAAATGTCAGTTTTCCAAATAATATTGTTTCTATTTTTTACAGCAGGTAATGAGGCTTGTCCAATGATTGAGGCATAGGAATGTTGTCCTGTGTTCAGAGATTATTTGTTTTGAACCTGGCTCCATTTATAAGATGCCTATCTATAGCAGTAGCTTACTAGACATTTTGTTTTTCGCCTTACATGATTTATTACTGTACAGTGATTAGCAAAGGTGTTGTTAATCGTTAAAAGTTTGAGGAAGCTGTGATTTTAAACTGAACTGAACCAAGGTTAATGGCTTGAAAATATCATGATTGTGTAATATTGTATTTTGCTTACATATACATCCAAATTATGACATTGATTTATATTTGTAGGTATTACAGTGTTTTTATGGGCCTGTCATATATTTTGACACAATGTTGGATTAACCATGGATTCCAGTTAGCTGTAGTCTCCGTCCCTCCAACTACCCCGGATAATCGAAGTGCTACTGTAACTCTCAATCAACCAGTTCTTATAAGAAACATTTGTAAAATTAAAAATGCTGACAATTATTGGGTTGATTATTCTAGAATTATTAAATAGCATACATTCATTTAGAAATGAGCTACCAGAAACAATACATTTCTACCACCTGTATGAAACTTGCAATGAAATCAAGTTAAATCAAAAGTATTATCATCAAGAAGTAAATAAAACAAACTATGAACAGCAAGCATAAATGACAAACAATTAGAATGATGTCATTTAATATCAGAGCTGTTGATGAATTGAATTGCTACTTCAGTAGACACTTACTTCCAATTTTTGTGCGAGCTTGAAGAGGTGTTGATCGTTGGGAACAGGCTACGGTGCACGCTTGTACAGAAACGTTGTATACAACATAACTGTCCAGGTTTCTCAACCGAACCTATTAAATAAGAAAACCATTAGTTTGAGGTTGATAATACTATTTATTGATATTTACAACAAAAATAGGTTATAAATAAAACAATAATTCGATTAACACATATATACAACATAAGGGGGGATGGTGTGGGGTATAGAGACAAATCTTTCAATTTTTCAGAGGGGAGAAAGACTAAAGAAGATATTTTTGACTCGATTGTGAGGTTTAACATATTCTACAAAACAATCAAGCAGAACAACAATTATTACGAGCAGAGAATAGTAAGGAAACTTTCCAGAGAGATAGAGATTTGAGGTTTGACACCAATACAAAATGCAATTAGTGTTTTAATTTGTACTAAAGGACACTAGAGGGTGCCTCTACCTCAAGCCGCGTTCTGAGCTGCCGTGCCGTTTTTACACAGTGTCTTATGGGAGAGATGAGATGGAATGATGAGTGTGGACATTCACGCGACGTCAAATGGCGTATTCGCTATTCATTTAAAACAAAATATAAGAATTTTTATCCACTATGTACAGAGACTAGCTACTAAGTAAAACAGCTTTTTTTGTACTATATATAATCCTAATTTTACTTGGTAATTCTTGGTACAGACACAAATAGCAGGATGAAATATTTATATCCTAAATGGGTTTAAACATTCAAAGACTTTAAAAATAGAAAAGAGTATAAAATAACCACCTTTTAGAGAAAGCTTGGAAAACAAACCTTTGAATAATGTAGTGGTTTGTGAAAACCAACTTTTTAGCAATGCTTGATTGATATTTTTTTATTTAACTTGACTCAAGCCGAGCTCATCATTCATAACAAAAAAATTGCACTATGACATGATGATGAGCTTTTGGACTAATATTGTCAATCCTTATTCGATTTAAAGAACGACATCTGCATCCATTGATGGAAGATTACTGATTACATCTTCATTATGATTTATTCATATTTGATCAACATTTATTTAGTTTTTGTATTTGAAAAAAAAAAAAATACAGTAGCCTACATGATGACTTTTTTTGTCAAAACATATTTTATCTACTTCTTTCAATTTCTCCGGTAGAATTATCTTTTGTTTCTTTTCTATTAAAATAATTGTTGACCCAGTATCAAATGTAAACAGATTAGATCCTGAAAGAATAGGACTAAAGATGTTAGTGTTCCTAAATAAAATTTTTTCATCTAGACGATACTCTTTTTTCTAATATCTGTCGTATATTACAGTTTTCAACACCATTACCTAATATTATTTGCAGGGGTGTGCGAATAGTGATTTTCAACCTCGACCAAACCGAGCTTTTTAAAAATCTTCGAGCTTGAGCTTTTTTGAGCTGAACGTTTTCTAACCTTGACTTAACTGAATTATTAAGCCAAATTTTATTTTCTAAATATGTAATAGTCTGACCTACCGTACTAGGCTAATTGAAAACGTAGAACTAAAACATAGACAACACTCTAAACAAACAATCTTTAATTTCATCCGTGTTTATTTAAATCTTCAAAACTCAATATAATTTCTCTTGTACTAATTATTCTTACTAAGTTTTAAAACTGACTAGGTGTTACAGGCAATGGTCTTTCTAGACAATTTTGTTTTAATTTCAATCTTGTACACTTGAGATAGGGTCTTTATAGCTTTTAAGTCTCGCTAAATTGAAGAACTGATCCGGTCAACAGTAAGCAAGAGACGCGACTAAATTCTAAAATAAAATAAAGGGTGTCCCAGTAAGAACGCCGGATTTCAAGAGCGTCTTATCCTTATATGTATTTCGATAGGAATTCCCAAATTATCAGCTATGTTATCAGTATTAGGTCCCATTTTTTGTCATGAATCGCTACACGACGGATCAACGCTTGATCATAGTTAAAGTGCACTACAAATACGGGAAACGGTTTGCTGAAACGGTGCGGAAGATGCGCGTTATTTTCGGCCGGGACAATGCACCAAATGAGTCATCTGTCCGAAGATTAACTTCTAAGTTCGAAAAGATTTGCTCAGTTTTTGGACATTAAAAGACCATTGCGCAGTCGGGCAGTTCGCTCCCTTGAAAATATTGAGGTTGTACATGATAGTGTAGAAGACAACGCAAGAACATCGATTCGTCGGCGTAGTCAGCAGTTAGGCCTAACTCGGAGCACAGTACAAAGAATTTTGGTAAAAGACCTTCACATGTCCCCTTACAAAATTCAACTCGCACAAGAGATCAAGCCAAGAGATCCCGTAAAACGGCTTGATTTTGTAAACTGGGTGGTTGGCAATCAATAAGAAAATGACAAAAACTTTGCTGTTCAGCGATGAAGCACACATCGCTGCATAGCCATCTAAGCAAGATCGCGCGATTTAACACCGTGTGTGTGACTACTTTCTTTGGGGATATTTAAAGTCACTTGTTTTCGCCAATAATCCTCAAACAATCCAAGACCTGAAGGAGGAAATTGATCTTGTCATTCAACAGGAAGTGTGTGAAAAAGTGATGGAAAACATTGTCAAGAGATGTCGGGCTTGTCAGCAGGCAGCAGGTGGACACTTACGAGACATAATATTCTACTAATCGGAGATACTATGCTTTAAGATTCATGTTTCATATTGTAAATTTAGCGTGAAAATATATGGTTCATTAACATTTCATATCCGGCGTTCTTATTGGGACACCCTTTATAATTAACACGAAAAACAAAATACTGTAATGCTTGTAACATTCTGTGGCGGAATATCCGGGGCTGAACACAATTAATTAAATTAATCTGTGGCGACATATCCGGAACTAAACACAATTAATTAAATTAATAGTAGCAGTGGTTGAGGTTAAGTGGATAATGGCAGCAATAGTTGCTTGCACTAAACTGGAGCTACAACTGAAGGTAGCACTGAATGAGAGAAAGCAGAGACATTGGCGACCATATGTACTAGGGGAATAGTACATGGGAACTATGGGCTGAATAGGGGATTGTAATAAAGCCAAGAGCCAATGAGCTGGTTGATTCATCTAGTTAGTACCAACATAACTACATTTGACAGCGTCTCGATTTTCTAGCAGAGTTGCCATGCCAGTGCTACTTCCAGTTGTCTAATTTCTAGCTCAGTGAATGCTAGCTATGGTAACAGCGCATGTTACCATGTTACGCATGTTGTAGTCTACGGATATTTCATTTCGTAAAAAGCAAAAGCGGTTCCCTGATTCTGTTTAGTTAACAGACTTGGAGACTATAAATAACTGAGAGTGCATGATAATTTTGGACTGGTCATGAACTATGCCAGTTGTCTGATTCAGAATTTTTAAACATGGATCGAATCAATACAAACAACAAAACATTGACCTTTGCAACTTCCGGCTTAAATATGAGTTTTTACTGCCCATCGTCACTATTCATGGTTTGTTGACTAATTGTTATTCCCAACTTGTTATATGTAGATGTTGTCTAAATCAAAGCCAAACAGAACTATCAAAAATACTTGATCCCAACTGTATTGCCCAAACTTTGTTTGTCAAATAGGTGACTTACGTGACCCTTGACTAAAATCTGGGACTTCTATGACTTCTGTGACCGGTAAACACCCTGTTGTCTTAATATTCAACTTCCATCTACTTCTAGTGATCCCGCCCTATGATAATCGAGTTCTACTATTTACAAGAAAATCACGATTGCTTTCGGTTTTGTAAAGAGTTGGAGTTTATTTACGTGGATACGATAAGAAACTGGAAGTTACGGTAATTTTAAGCCGTGCGAGGTGACGCTGGCTTCCTGATCGAGTTTTGTTTCACCAAAACAAACTGTCTACTCTGAGACTGAGACATGAATTACATGTCTTAACAACATTTGCTTCTAGGAAAAACAGATGCATGAACAACGTAGAATCATGATAACTTTGTTCTAAATCACGACACAAATTAAGTGTATTTTTACTTTGTATTAAAAGCTTGGCTCGAACTTCCGAGCTTTTTTCAAATACCTTGAGCCGAGCTGAATAATGGAAAGCTTGAACAAAAAGCTCAAAGGTTCGAGTAATCGCACACCCCTAATTATTTGTGAGTATACCCTTGTATTGTATTGTAATCTCCAGTTTAAAAATAAGACATTGTGTAAATTATGTAGGCCTATATTGAGGTTAGGATACGTTGTCTAACCTAGTCAAAATATAATGGCCTCTACATTAAGCACAAGTTACAATAAGCAGAGACAATTTTATTTAAATATTTAATTTTTAGGGGTAAACTAAAAAAACAAAAAACTGACTTAAAACAGTAACCAAAACCGAACCGATAAAATCAGCAACTGATCTAACACTAATTACAATCCATGCATAGTAGTATAAATTAATTGTGTGTCTTGGGGCATTAAAATTTAATTAATTAAACTTTAATGGGTAAATATAAAAATTGCGACTTTGATCAGAGCTTAGTAAAATCTATTATTAATTACATTGTAATTTTTAAGTAAAATTAATAGTTTGAGCCACTTTACCTGTTTGATGGGGTTCTGCTGACTGCCTTCCACCTTCTGAGACAGACCGTTGTAATGTACCAGATAGTAGCGCAATACTCCGTTCATGGAGAGAGGAGGAGACCACTGGACCAGCATGGAGGTGTTGGTGACTTCTGACAGTGAAACATTCTGTGGCGGCATATCTGGAGCTAAACACAAACATTACACATTACTTGACGAACAAAAGGGTTCATCTTCAATCATAATTTCTTCAAAGGCAGAGTTCTTAATTACACGACCCCTTGAATTTTTGTTGTATTTTTAATAAAGATGAAGTTGTAAATAATGCTAAAACTATGTATCTTTCTACAAAAATTACAAAAAATCATATTCGTGAACCTATTATTACAATATAGTCAACACAATAACATAGCTAGAGAAGACACTCTCAAATTCCCCATCTCTAGAACTGTTCTTTATATGAAAGATTTTTTTATGCTGGTATGAAACTTTGCAACCACCTTACCTCTCAAATCAAATTGGCTGAAGAAATTTATATTAAATGAGTATTTGAGTTGCTATGTCTCTATTCAGTTTTTTTTCTTTTTTCTTTTTTTTTCTACGCCAGTGGCATTTCACAAGAGAAGTTACGATAGATTAAATGTTTAGTGGATGTGCCGGGGATTGAACCCGTCCCTCCCGCACCGAAGTCCGAGACGCTAACCACTACGCTAGCAACACAACCATTAGTTAGTTAGTAGTAGTAGTTAGTAGTTATTAGTTGAGGAATTGTTTTTAGTTTCCAATAATACCATGTCCAATTTGAAATGTTTTACCTTTTGGTATTTTTTTTAAAGAAACTATTTAAATCTAAGATACGAAAATGATGTCTAATAAATTTATTTATGAAATATCACAATTAATTATCTAAAATTTTCCTAACAAATGACTATTATTTCATATTAATATTATTCATATTATTCTTAACTATTATTTCATTTCAATAATCTCGAATGCAACTAAAGAATCAATATTATAGTAGACTCTCGCTCATCCGGACTAATGTGGCAGACGTCCGGTCCAAATTACGATAAATCTGCACTATCGACAGTCGAGTAAATACAGTAGCCTTCTGTATATAGCCGTTTTTTCAATTTTGTTCCAGGCCCACAGTATTGATGCAATTCCACCGGTAATAGTTTTTATAGCCGTGTTATCTGAGTTTTTGATTAACCAAGGTAGTCTCGGACCCGTTTAGCTTGGATAATAGGACTTCTACTGTACTGTGCGGTTAAAAAAAATCACGATTGCCGATCCGGACTAGCGGGAGTCCGGACAAGGCCGATCTGGTTGAGCGAGAGTCTACTGTATTTTATACGAGTGATGCTAGGCAACCATTTTGATGAATTCATTTATGACACATTTCAAGAACTTTAAGTGCAATTAGAGAACATGCTTAGTTATTGATGGGTTTTGCTAACAATGACACAACAGCAATACAACTTACCAGCTTCCAATGTTGTGTTGTACTGGCGGTCGCTCCACTGACCAATACTGTGCTTGGTGATCACAGCTACCATGACCATGTAGGTGGTATAGGGTGTTAGATCTGTCACATTCCCTCGAATTGCAAGTCCCTCTGCTATGGTGGTGTTCTTGGCTTCAACTGGAATCACGAGTCTCGGATAAGAATCAAGAGTTTTATTGCCATTGACCTTTATAGATAATTAGTAATATACAAGAGTTAAGGCCGATACTGGTACTCAACAGCAATGGAGGAAAGTTAAAATAGAAATTTGCATGAAAGAACAATGCATATTTGCTTTCCTAACACACTAAACATCGTGCATTTCCAACTTAAGAAGTAGACAATTCAATGTCAAGACAAACGGCAAGCATCTTACTGACATAAAATTATTGTACTGGTTCTAGTGTGCACGAGTTATAGTGTCCATAGACACACATACAGATACAGTGTGTTAAGTCCCGGAACAGCTTAATATTGTTTTAGCCAACATAGATACGGTGGTACAGTTTTGTATCTAGATATTTATCATAAAAACCTACCTTTTTAAGCAATTGTCAATTTTCCTCTCCTCCAGGGGGATGGCCCACAAGGAGTTAGAAGAAAATCTTTAATGTAAGCATAGGTTGATATGCACATCAAATTTAAGATTCAAAATGGCAGATTCAATGCATTTTTTAACGTCTGTTTGTTCAATGTCTGTTTGAGTTCCAATTTGCAGAATTGTATTTTACTAGTAAAGACCTTTAGTTTGATGTGCATATAAAGCTATGCTAACATTAAGATTTTCTTAAAAAATATATAAATAAAAATATTTATACGTTATTCCTTTGGGTTAATTTAGCAGGAAATAATTTTATTTCATCCTTGCAAGTTACGCCATTTTTCCTAAATCAATTTGAGACACCTTACGCAGGACACCCTGTATATATAATTTAGAAAGAACCCAGTTTTGGTCCTCTGGGCTTATAAAAACAAATAATTATTGTACAGGGTGTCTACCAATAATTTCAGTGACTTAAGGGGAGGGGGGGGGGCACAATCTTTGATAATACTTTTCAGTGATTTGAACATGAGATAGTCAGACATACAATATTTTGTGCCGTAACGATTTTGACACGATTGCCTGCTCCCAAAATATGTTCTCTCTCATTGATTCTGCACTATGACTTTAATCATTGCCTGCAGCAAGGTGCAAAACAAAAGGCAGGTTTGAGAAACTATATTTTAATTAGGCAGATTTTTTGTGTGACTTTCGGGATCTTAAAAAGAAAATAAGTTACTTTTCAGTGACTCCTGTGGCCAGTCCCTGTTGTAAAGAGTCTAGTGGGCTTAGTGTTATTGGTAAATTAAATCTTTAAATTTAAGTTTAAGTAGTTTAAAATTAGCACAATTTTGAATTTTTTAGACTACAAACATAGAGATTTGCTATTTGATATTCATTACACAAATAATGTACCAAAATATCTTATTCAAAACATGATACAAACCTTTGCACTTTGTGTTGTGGGGTGAAACAATCGGACAGTAATATATCTGGAAACCTGTGACCACTCCAATACGATCCGAGCACTCCAGTTTCCAACCAACCTCAATGAAAGTAGGGCCAACTCGGTTAATCCATATGGTTTTCATTTTGCCAAGGACTGTAACAAATATGACTATATTGAAGTATGAAAATTAAAATACCTGTTTGTAAATTTAAGAACTTGAGAACAATTCTGGAATATCAATTGAACTTTGTAAATATTACAAATTATATAAATATATTACCATGGAAATGGGGATGGAAAGAGATTAGTGTGTAAAATGGAGAGAGATGTCTTCTTTTGTACCGTTGTTACTGTCTAAGACCAGCTGTTTATCAAATATCCTAATAAAGGACAGCAGGGTTCAGTTTCTAACCACCAATTTGTAACTTTTCTCAGGATCAAATTGTTAGGGGAGCATGATAACAACTCAGCTACCCAGATATCGAATGAGAGACAAATCTGGGGGGGGGGGGGTGAGGATGTGTTCATTGCTGGAGACAACAACGGAGAAAACATAGACAAACATGACCCATATCGGTCAACATTTACATATTTTTACTTGCAACAATCAAATATGAAAACTTGACAAAAATGTGTTATGTTTATATATTTGTATGAAATTTGGTACCGTATGGAATAAATATAAATTTTCAGGTATTTCACAATGTTGCATTCTTTAGGTTGTATTATAAATATTATTATCTTGTTGATATTGGGCTTCCTAGTCAAGCAAAAATGGGTAGTAAAGGACCTTGATGTGGTACTGGTGTACTTACTCCTGTTGTGGATGACTGTACAGGATGCCCAGACCATTCCACTACTCTCAGTCTCAGTGTTGGCGGAGATGGCGAACTGATAGATCTTCTCATCAGGGACTGTGATGTTCTTGATGGTAACATCCTTGGATACCCACGTCCAATTCAGAGTACCCTACGAGTCAAGCGGATATATTAGAAACTGATCATGTAAGTATTGGAGATCTGCAGGATAGCAGATGGGAAACTACTTTGACCTATACTCCGTTCAAACAGCCGTGGCACCTGAAGGATTAGGACACCCCATGGAAACCCTTGGGGCCTCCTAATCCCTCAGGTGCCACGGCTGTTTGAACGGAGTATAGAACTTTTGGGATGGGAAAATACAGCATAATGTGATACAGTAATTGTATCCTGCATTTGTAAACAAATTGTAATAAGTGTGCTTTCAAGGTTGTTTTAGAGCAATTTACACATTAAAGTATTAAAAAGTATCTGATAAATATTAAAGATAAAAATAAAAAAATATATAAACTTAAACATGCATATTAATATTCCAATAATCTTTTTCTTCATGTTTTGGTAATCTTGGACCTCATGGTAACAGAATTTTACAAAATATTAAATTTAAACACACAACTAGTGATGGTCGGATCCGGATATCGGACAACCAGATCCGCCGGATCCAAGCTGGAACCGGCACCAGATCGGATCCAAAAAATTCTGGATCTTGGGTTGGATTCGGTTTTGATGGATCCGATTTTTTCCTGATTTTTTTGCTAACATAAAGCTGTCTGTATCCATGTACGCTCATCCGGACTAAAGTGGCGGACGTCCGGTCCGGATTACGAAAAATCCGGACTATCGAGAGTCGAGCAAATACACAGTACTGTATATAGCCGTTTTTTTTTCAATTTAGTTCCAGGTCCAGAGTAATGGATAGCCGGGCATATGCACTTCAACCGGTAATAATTTTTACCACCAAATTTAGTTCCAGGTCCACGGTAATGATAGCTGGGCATATGCACTTCCACCGGTAATAATGTTTTCCAAACCGGTAATAATAACCGGTAGTAATGTTTACACCGGTAATAATTTTTACCACCGTGTTATCCAGTTAATTTCAAGTCTCTAGCTCATCGGGAACTTCGTTTAAAATTGATATCAAAATTTGTAGGAAAGCGAGCTAATAAAAACAAGCCCATGGGGCGTAGCCCAAGGGAAATAAATTAAATGATATAATATTGCATTGTCATCCATTTGTGAGCTACGTTTCAAGTTTCAGGTCTCTAGCTAATCGGGAAGTATCCAAATTTGCAAGAAAGCGAGTTATTAAGAACAAGCCCATGGGGCATAGCTCAAGGGAAATATGAAAATTAAATGATATAATATTGCACTGTCTTCCATTTGAGAGCTATGTTACAAGTTTCAAGTCTCTACCTCATCGGACAGTTAGTATAAAATTGATTGCAAAATTTGTACCGGACAAGAAAGCGAGCTAATAAAAACGTTTTAAAATAGGAATTCTTCTGGGAACATTTCCCTGGCTTGCTGCCGCACTTGTCCTGGCGTTCTGTTTTAGTTTTAACTCATGAAATTTTAAACTTCAGGTTCCTTTTTGACATTCCACACCACTTATTTAGACTCGTAATATATTTTCTCTTACATTACAGACAAATACAAATCTTAGAATATTAACAAAATAAACTAACGTCAATAATACAGTATATAAAATAATTAGAATGAAAGGGTTAATTTAATTATAACAACAACTTACAGTGCATTGGTAAGGCCTGTCCTTTTTGTTGTCGCACCAGAAGATGGTATAGTTTGAGATCGGCTGCGTGGTGATAGGTGGCTTCCAAGACAGCTCGTAAATATGATGATCGAATGCGATTTTAGTGAACGATAACGGCTCTGCTAAACCTATTCAATCACATATCATTGAATTGAGGATGAAAAATAAGTAACATGACGATGTAAACCAAATTTTCACATCGAAAACCTTGGAATTTCCATGAAACCTATCCCCTAAATTAAGCCTAAAGTGTTTAAGTCATAATCATAGAAACTGTAATACGGCTTCAATTTTATATGTGAGGTGAACATGAAAACAAGAGGTAAGATTTAATTACCGGTATGCGGGTTTTATGGAGGGACGGCCGTAGGTAATGAATTTTAGCTTGCTTGCTCAAATATGTGTCGGATCGATAGTTTGGTTTAAATACGATTAAGATCTAAATCACTCAGATTTTTATGGTTTTGAATTAATCTTTTTTGAATTTGGATGCTTATAACGGTAACACAAATCTCTTTCTTATTTTGGACTTAACAAGATTTAATGTTATGTTTATTTTCATGATTTTTTATTGCTGATCATATACATTTTAAATGGATATAATTAGGGTACTGTCTAGTAAATGGCTAAGAATAGTCTCTGATGAAGCGAGATGTTTTCATAGCCTTGGGATGGCTGTCTAACACAAAATATGTAAAATAATACTATTTGGTTATTTTTTTCCTTGCACTGTAATGTTTGTGCAAACGATGTAAAAAAATTATATTGGATAAATATTTGGTTAAAGAAACATTTAACAGCACTTACTGGGGAATGATTAGTAAAAAGGACCAAATCAGAAAACAGGTGACAAGGAAAATGTCAAGACGTTGAGGTAAGGAAAAATGTATACGTTAACGTTTTAACGGGTATCAAATAATAAAAAAGGAAAAATGAACAAATAAAAAAACAAGTCCATAGGCCATAAACATTATCAATGGACTTAATGGTTTTTGTTCAAAATACACTGTTACAAAAACCATAAAAGAACAAAAAAAACCTTGAGTATAAACCGTCAGTACAGTAAGTAAGGGGTATTGGCATGCTGAATGTTGGAATAGGACAAGTCCAAACTAACTTTTACTGAGTTGTGATGGTGATGGTACAAAGACTTCAGAATAGTCTTCCGATTCTCCTTCGATATTAGTAGAAATGATCCTGAAGCGGTAACTGTTCATACTGAGTCCTCTGAACTTGGCATAGGCTGATGTTGTCTCGTTCGCATCCAAATTCCTAAAACACAATATTCATGTTTTCATATTTCCGTTTTAACGATATTGAAATAAAAAATGTGGAAAATCCATATTAGACACAAAAACAATACGGTACATAAATTCAAATATGATGAATTTACCTAAAGCAGGTGAACTACTAATCTTCATTTTTATAAAAATAATTAAGCTACAGAAATATAATATTATTACAAAGGGTTACTGATTTTAGAATGTATAATAAAATAATAGTACATGCTATTCTGATTGTATATTTTAAGTAATAAAGGTTTCAGGAAATTTTGCATCTTCAACTTAAAAGGTAAATACAGGAAGATCAAACTTCAACAGGTACCAAATAAATAGCCAGAATTTGACCCGAGTGACAACACTAACCGTGGTACGCCGTCTTCTTCAACAGTGACTTTATACTTGAAATGATCACCATTGTAGAGATATTCGGGGATGTTTTGCCAGTAGACATACACATCTCTGCTAGTGGGGCTGACTGTTGTTACCTCAAAACTCCCAATATCTGTTTTAGGAGCAGCTCCAGGAACTGAAAATGACCATCATATTAGAGTGGCTTAAAAACAGAACCGTAAAATAACAGTGTTCCGGTTCAGAGGACCCAAAAAGTATTGTTTATGCAATAAATCCATATCCAGAGTACATTAACACAGACAGGCATTCATTTTCGTGCCTCATTCGAGTGCGATTTTCGGTAAACTCTTAAGAGTGTTTTGTAGAAAATTTAATTCCTGACCATGAAAGTTCTTTCAAAGCTTTGCTAGCTCTTACCGTTTTCGACCTACAACCATTTGAAAAAACCGTGTTTTTCTTAAAAAAAGGGGGTGAAAAATTCAAATTTTGAACTGCCATAACTTTTGATAGGAATGACATAGAGATCTCTAGTTTGCGCCATTCTTTTTCTTTTTTCATGCCCTCAAATTTTATATGTCAAAAGGTGTACCTTGCAATTAAAAAATTGTAAGTTAAGAGTTGGGGGAGAAAGGGGGTGAATGGGAACTTCACATTAAATTCACAATAATTGTGGCCCCTACGTCAATAGAATATGATTCCCCCAAACTGCATATTTCTATCTATTGCAGTTTTTACATAAAAAAAAGCAAGTTTAAAAAAACACCGTGTATAGATCAGTCCATTCTAACCCCTGATACCCAACACTATTTCAGATATTTCACCATTCAATGATATTATCAATCAAGGTCTAGTTTCTTTCAATCCTGGAAATACTAACAATAACAATAAACAATAAAAAGTCCCAAGCGACCTATGCCTCATTACTATAAGTCTGTGTTTGTTTGTTCCCACATGTTTTAGATTATGGGAACAAAAAATAAAAAATAAAAAAATAGTATAATTGTATGATCATATAACCATATAGAAAAAAATCTTAAACTAGTGTCTAAAACAAGTTATAGAGTATTCTAAAATAAACAATCGTCTCCATTCATAAAATACAGATATCTTATCTCTGTGCAGGCATTCAAGGATGTAGCAGTAGCTAATAATATGAGTTCATGAGGTCAATGTTCTGCTGATAAGACACTACTGTATCAAAATATTGCTTCCTTTCCCTTCTAAGGCTTACTGATAAAATGCCCCTACTCTACTATTGTAGTCCCTGTTAGCAAACACAATTGAACCTTTACTTTCACAATATAGTACTGATAACTGTTGCAAGGTCTTTCTATGAGGGCAAAGTTGTATTTGATGTTTTGCATTGCTATTTATTGTAAAGCTATACAGAAGACTATTGAAATTGGTGGGCCAAGCAAATAAATTTGAATTATCAAGAGTTTGATTTATCAGGAGAAAAATAAACCATAAGAATTACAGAGAGTTCTACTGTACAACTTCTGACTTGACTCCACCACTTTCTACTGCTGCGATCACTTCTTTTTTTCCGCAATAGAAACGGATTTGTATTTATGCTTGGGTTCCATGATAAAACAACAAATAATTTAGCTTCAGCCATGGTTCCGCACAACAAAAGGCTTCAACGAACAAAAAAGTTGAAAGTTTTGATTTATTGAGTGTTTAAATTACCAAGAGTGGACTGTATATGCTAATTTGACGCCATCGCAGGTGACGATAATGTTATTCCCTTAATCTCGGGAGAGGTTTCAATCCTAGGGGACGGGTGCCGCTCGAGTTAATTTGAAAAGTAAAATTCATAACAAAACTACATGCATGAACACAGCTCTATTTTATTACTGCGTTAAGGACGGGAAAAGAAGTCTCTAGACTCCTAGGTAAAAAAATCAATCTATATTGACATTTAGGGCAGTTAATCAAACTATTTTTTCTGGAGCAAAGGCAGTTAATCTAGGGTTGCTTAGGAGAGAATCTAACTGTATCAGGGTGTCCACAAAAAATTTGTCATTAATTTCCATGACTTTCCATGACTATCCATGACCATTTACCATTGATTTCCATGACTCACGAACTTTACACGCAAATTATAATATAACATACACACACAAATAATACTGCCTGGACATGTTATTTTGCAGAAAATACTGAAATATGTAATATTTCAATGAGATAACAATGGAGAACAATAGGTACAACAATGTACTAAAAGAAACCGAAAACTCATAAAATAATACAACTGTAATAAATTGAATTGTCGAAAATTTGTGAAAAATCCTGAAAAATGCTACAACAGTCCGGGTTACGGCTGACTAGAGCATTGAATGGTCCCCTCAAATCCATCCATAATTGGAAATTTCCATGACTTTCCATGACTTCTTGCCTATTTCCCTGACTTTCAATGACCAACATTTTTTTCCATGACTTTCCATGACTATCCCTGACTTTCCAGAATGTGGACACCCTGTGTATTATTCTAGAATATAAATATACTGAGTACATACTTGTTGGCTTTGTCTTGATGGTCAGGGTGGCTGGTTGTGACCACATATCTTCCCCTAGGGCCAAGGGAGAACGCATGAACACTCTCAGGTCATATATACTGTTGGCATACTTAAGCCCTGTGATGTTGACCTGGTGAGTTGCATTCTTTATGTTATAAGTCATGTTCACCACCTGTAAAACAAAATACACTGTTTACAAACCGGCTTAATAGCTCTTGACAAAGTTGTCAAACTATAAGCGTTAACTGTAAGCATCTCAATTTCAATGTTCTTACATTTTTTTTTTTTTTTTGTTGCTAGGTACTACTCAAGATTTTATCAACATTTATTTTAAATTAAAAAAGCACAATTTTCTAAACTCAGAGACTCGACAATGTTACTTTGATTACAAATAAAAAATTATATATTGATCTTTTCAAATGGTGCGTTGAACAGAACTAATTTTTCACCGGTTAAACTCATAAATTCTTTTTGAAATAATTGTGTGAATGATTTTCCAAGTGCATACAGGTGTAAAATACAACCATCAATATTATTGACTAGCCGAATCGGGTCCTTTTCCTAATGTTCTGGTTGAGGTCTAATGTAGCATACTTTTTCCCAAATGAATGATGTTCTTTAAGGGGGGTTGGCCCGGCCCGCCTATCTATATCATGTTAATTTCGTCAACTAAAGGTACATTTTTCTAAAAAAGTTTTAGAGTTAGAGATCTAACTTTGATGTTACTAAAAAGAGTGTATGCAAATGAGTAATTACAACAGGTCCTTTTTAAAAATATTAATGGGGTGATTTTTAAATTTGTTTTTAAAACAGCTGTTTTATTGATTTTAAAAATAATTTACGAAGTTTATTAAATATTTTTAACTGTAGCCCATATATATCAGAATATTATTAATGGAAAAGTGCAGAAAGACATGCTTAAAAATGATAAAAAAATTATTATCTTTTTTAGTTTGGGATATAAAAAATTTGAAATAAATAAATATAAAATTAAAGTAACATCAAGGTTGGATCCCTAACTCTAATTATTAACATCGGATGGATAGGCGGGCCACCCTTAAACCCCCTTAAAATATTGGTTGATTTTAGTTCCTCCAGAATGTTAACATAGTTTTATGTAATTGCTTATTTAGATAGAAAATCTGTTAATTGACTAGTGTCTTAAAACCATCATTAGATTGTTAAACTTACAAAAAGGCAACAAAGAGTTTTGCAAACTACAGTTATCATTGACAATAAGTGAAAATGTTGAGGTGATAGTGATACATCTATTAATATATTGTATATACTGACCGTCCAGTGATCTCTGGGATCCCACTCTGATTGGTATTCAACCTTCTGTTCAACTCCTGGAGGAAAGTTCTGCATAGGGAAGACCACAGACCATTGTATCAACACACTGCTGGAAGTCTTCTCTAGCATAGTCAGGTTAGCTGCCTTAGCAGGGATCACTGCAATACAATCACACAGTTAGGGTAATGGATACCAATGTGAAATCAAGTAGCCTACTTAAAACAAATCTACAGATGTATCTGCTACATACTATGAACACTTTGGGGTTCTTTGCATTGATTTGAAAGCAACATATCTAATCAAACAGGATGCCTAAACAGGTCCCCGAAATAAAAAATTGACTTTTCTGTCAAATTTTGCTGAGAAGAATAATCAAGAGTAGGTAATTCCTTTGGTGATTCTCAAGGCAAAATTCTGATCATCCCTCGCGGCAATATAGACATCATAATCGTCTCCCGCGATAGCAACAAAAGGTTAATCATCTCCCGCGGTTGTGTAAACATCATTATCGTCTCCCACGTTTGTGTAGACATCGTAAATGTCTCCTGCGATTGCAGCAAAATGTTAATCATCCTTCCCGGTCGAGTAGACATCATCATTAACGGCTCCCGGGGTCATGAAAATGTCACTGTGTTGTCATGCCCGATCACAGTTTATTTTCAATCTCCTGCGGTCATGGATACGTTTTCATCACCATCTGTGATCGGGGCAAAATCCTGAATACCTCCTGTGATCATGGAAACATAATCATTGTTATCTGCGATCGGGGCAAAATCCTGAATATCTCCTGCAGTTGTGTAGACATCATCGTCATTATACGATCATGGCAAAATCCTGAATATCTCCTGCTATTTTGTAGACATCATCATCGTTTCCCGCTGTCACGGAAACATTATCACAGTCTTCCGCGATCGCGGCAAAACCCTGGACATCTCTTGCGGTCGTGTCATCACTAACGTCTACCGCGATAACAGAAATGTTATCGACGTCATTCATGTATGCACTAAAAGCGTTAATATATCAACTGCACATTCTACCCAAACTATTTAAGGAGAAATCCCATACATTTGATAGCCAGCCCAAAATTAAGTATGATTCCCCGTTTTCCCGGCTGGCAGACACCCTGCAGTGTAGTAAGATACCACCAAAATTGTCCAACGTAACAACATACTTGATTGCTCGAATGTTAATTACATACCATAGGCATAATGATGAAACCTAGTTCTCTGAGTCTTGACTCCGAACCTATTTTCTCCAGTCATTAAAAAAGAATAATATTCATAAGGCTGTCTGTATGGTGTTGAAGTTGTTTGGTCATAAAAGCAGTAGTTCTTCCCATTAACATCCGTCTCATCTGGACATGGAAACTTTAACCTGAAATAAAATGCAATTCTTTAATACATTATTTATGAGTAAATCATGGTCATAATTCCTTTATTCAAGAGATAACATGACCTAAGTGAATGGTGTCATACAGTTAAATATTAACTAATAAATTAATCTAAAATAAACTACTTTATTTCTTTTTTGACAGGTTAAGAACAAAATTTTTTATCTTTTGAAATTTAGCACTGTCCCAGAGTGAGTGTTCTACAAGTTCATCAAAACCATTTAAAAATGTGAAAACTATAAACTAAAACCATTTTGACTACTTTTTTCAACTAAAATATTTACCACAAGTTTACTTCTCCCTACAATAGATTTTGTTAAGGATAAATCACTTTTTAATCTAAATTAGTGTAAAATAGGCGGTTAGAACTGATTTATAAGGGCTTAACTCAGTTTTTATACTAATCAAACGGAACAGACTTTTGACTATATTCAGATAGTCGGTTTATCAGCAAAAGAGCAGGAAGTCTAACCGAGGAAAAGTATTTAACTCTGGATAACAGAGATATTGGTGGAAAGTTTTTGATTAAAGAAATGTTATTACATTTGTAATCTACAAACACATATAAGATTAATTTAAAAGGCTTTAAACATTGTTCGACGTGAGTTCTGAACTTTTTACAGATTATTTTATCAGAATCTTATTTGAAGAAAAACTGAAAAATACTCTAATACCAAGCTGCTTAGGGATTTAGAAATTTCTGACATTACGTACAGTCACTTATTCCCTTTACAGTCACTGATGAATGAAAGTTAGCAAGTATCAGCCGCGGAGATCCAAATAAGCGTGTATTAAGTATGAAGGTTGCTGCTGGGTATATTATATCTAAAATTATTTAGTAGACTTACCTCCCCCCTGCTCTACCTGGAAGTTGGTATACCAGTGTGTACTTGGTCTTGACAAAGTTGTTAGGCGTGACCCACGTACAATTCAAGTTATCCCAGTTATGGGATACACATGAGAAGTTCTTTACAAATTCTGGTTCAACTGTAATAAAAATTAATTGTAGTACTTGATGTGCGAGTTTTTTTTAATAGGCTCATCAAAATTAAAATTGTGATTTTTTGGCATATATAGTATTAGCAGATTTGGAATGCCGATGGAGGCCAGGTCAAGTCCCGTCGCACGCACGCACCCCCACACTCATGGGCGCAAGGTACAGGGTAAGTTGCTCGGCCGATGAGTAGCTGGGGTGGCCCAACCTTTAAATCCCCCCGCCTCACCGAATACTCCACTTACAAGCAGAAATGTAGTAAATAATCATTATTTGAGAAAATACTTGATACTGTATTGTTAAACCGCAGGGGGCTCACGCTTGCGTGGGTTCGTGGCCTGGGCGACCACGCGGACCCTAGCTCTCCCAGAGGGGAGGTAACTGCCCGGTGTCAGACCCGGCACTTCAGGTAGACCACAGTTATGGACGACTGGTAAGCGCCAGCCCCTTAGGGGGAGCCTCCAGTGACATTCCCTCCATTCAGGGTGGGGGGGGTGTTTAGCTCTCAGTGACGCCGTTAATTCCGCCTCTCCTCAACTACCTGTAACTGTGGTTGTGACTGAGTCCTACCTGTTGTGTTCGACTGACATTTTGTGAGGCATATCCTCGACTTTGGAAGTAGCCTCGTCCTGGGAGGTGAAATACCTAGCCCCCAGAGGGGAGGTAAATGCTCCGTGTTGGTATCGGCATTTCAAGTTGGCCACAGACATGGTCGACTGGGCATCGGGTCCCAGTGACATTCCTTTATCCAGGATGGAGGGGTGTTTAGCTCTAGGAGAGATGGAAGTACATCATAATCTCTAACCTACCTGTGTCTGTGGTACTTTGGGCTTCGGCCTGCTTGTGGTGTGCGACCAGCATTCAGTGGGCAAATCCTCGACTTTGGAAGTAACCTTTCCTGGAGGTGAAAACGGGCAAGTACCCGCAGCTCACGGGGACACTCAAGGGCAACGTAACTTTCCGCAGTGTGAGGGCAACGGTTTGTAGGTACTTATGCAAACCTATCCCTGTCTCTGAGCACGGACGGTATGGTTATCTTGAGTGTGGGGGGTTCTTCCCGGAACCTCAATTGAGTCAAGGGTGTCGCCACCTCTGGTGGATAGGTTCATCCGGGTGGGTCCCACTTCTATACCTGCCTCCTTTTGGGAAACCCTGATGGCCTGGCAGTGATGTTGGGTCTGACGGGCAAACGAAGTAGATCGGGTGCTGGGTCCGAGCCCGCCAGGGGTATCTGGGGATCTATCGCTCTGGATATCTCTGGTTCCCAGCAATGGGTCAGGCCTCGATCGGGCAGCGGTGTAAATGGGAGGTTGGGGTTCCCCCCGTCAGCGTGCTGATGGTCCCCTTCCTCCTGGCTATTGATGGCGGGTTCTGCCTGTCAGGGATGAGATAGGTCCCGAGTGTTGCTTGCACTAAATGCGTCGGGGCGCTCTACTATGGACCTCTAGGTTCCGACCTAGTGGAACCCAGGTGGAGTGACGCTTAAACAAGCAGCCGGAATCCCTGGTTAGGATTGAGGGGCAACCCTCTTTCCGAAGGGTCTGCTTCGGCAGCCGGCGAGCCTGATGACCTTAAGTCATCCGCCCATGATGTGCTAAAGGTTGATGCGTAAGCTTCGGCCTACATCATGGGGCCCGGGTATGTCCTGTAGGATAGGTACCGGGTAAGTAGTCAGGGGGCTTCGGCTCTCATGACAACAAATAATAATAATAATAATAATAAAATACTGTATTGTTAGTTATCATAATACAAACAATTGTGTGTTTGTCCTATGTTAATCGACCGACTTTAAGTATTGTAACAAATTATTTATTATTAATTTATTTAATTAAAATTACAAATAAACATATTTTTATTTTGATTGGTTGAGTAAATAGAACATTTAACGGACGGTAATACGGCCGGTCCTAATCTCCTGCACCTGTGTGTGCCTCCATCGGCATTCCAAATTAGCTAATACTATAGATATAAAATTATTTATGGCAAAAGTAATCGTGGCAGTTAGTCAAATTTATTGAATTTCACCTTCAACTGAGCAAAGTGCCTTTACCAGTATTATTAAAAACAATTTATGAAAATTGCTTATTTTTATTTAAAAAATGGGAACAACTAACTTTGGATTGAAGAATGACAATCAAACTTTTGTCTATTATTATCAAAACGATGTATATAAATTGCTCTATGAGTAGTACAAGTTCTTATTCAGTATTTTTTAAACTACATGAGTGAAAGCATTCCACTTTTGAAGTTTTCATCGAGAATAAAAGATTGACGATAAGCTATCAATTTAATTGAGCACTGAAACCATCACTGGTAGCAAGAGAGGCCTAAATGACATAGCTACAACAGTTGATTCTCTGATCAAACCTAATCCCATTTAACTATCGTCTAATTAAGTATTGTCGTACCAATTGGATATAAGTATGGTGTCAATTTAGTTTACAGTGATTTTAGACATTTATATCTGTGTTCCGTAGAACTATCTTTTTTACAAAAAGATGCACCAAAACCAACCTGACCAAGTTACTTGAACAATTGCTCCTTTTAGCTAAACATTTAAACTTTTGTTACTCTATTCTGTCAATCTAATCAGCTAAAAAACATTTTATACAATACTTACATCCGACCGCTACGCTATTAAGGCATACTGGCGACTCTTCTGTTCCATTGATGAGTTTACAATAGTACATGTCCTTCATCGGAACTGGTTTTTCGATGTATAAGCGAGCAGTCGACTCGTTGACAATAGAAATGAACTCTGGCATAACTTTATACGACGTGTGATAGAAGACGAGACTACTTGAGTTGAAGCCCTGAGCCACCACGCTGGGACTGAGCTCACAGAATATCTCCAGAGGTTGTCCATACTTCAGTATTATATCTCCCGCTGGTAGAGTTACTGTAACATCAACACGTTTATGTTTCAACATACCAAGGGTATAGATCCTTACAGTTAGGGTAATGTGTAGGAGGAATGGGGGAAAGGCTCCCAACAGCTCTGAGTCACACTATTATGTGCTGGGTGGTATTAAACTAATAAAACAGTGGTGGGGAAAGGGTTCTTGTCCGTATTCCGCTTCCCACTCTAATTGATACAATGCATACAATTTACTCAAATATATATGCAATTTTGTATTTAGTACAAACAATTTTTATTAGTATGGCCTCTTTTAAACAATTTTGTTCAAAAAATATTTTCTTTAAATTTTAAACAACAATAAACAAAAAAATTTCCAATCACCAACATAAAGTTGTACAATAGAATTGTCCAGACTGATAAATTGCCTTCAAGTAGACTAAGTAATTAAAGCCATCCAAATACAAATTCATAATAGGTTATATACCTTTTTCATAATCGGTCTTAGCATATAGTATTCCATAAGGTAGCTAGTTTCGGGTCAAATGACCCATTATCAAATCCAACATCTAATTGAAGAAGGTTTAATACAGGTTAAATCCAGTTTTAAATCATCCAAACCTTCTTCAATTTGATAAATGGTCATTTGACCCAAAACTAGAAATTCTCGGAATATTACATAGATCTGAAGACAGTACGTAGCCTCCTATTACATATATTTAATCCAATAGCCTTGGTGTTAAAAATGTTTAACTAAGCATAGATGTTTCACCAACATTAAGTTGTAAAATGCAAACATTTCAATAGATGAATAACTTCTAAGTAGCATACAAATCGACCTTGAGTTGGGAGTAATAGCCAGTAATATCAAAGCTGCACTCACTTGTCCAATAAAAAATTTTATGACAGCCACCTAATGACTCATTGGCAATAATCAAAAGATAAGATCTTGTTTTCCACTGTACGTGTTGTTGCACGATTCCATTAATTTTGTTAACTAAGATTAAGTGCTTTGTTTACATGAGTATTATTATTATTTTACTTTATCAAATCAGTAAATAGAATTCTGGGTGATTTTACACTTACAATAAATCCTCAAAGGTGAAAACCTAGTGTTAAATGTACCTAAATGTGAGAATTCTAAAAAATAAATGAGGAAAATGACCAAACTATAACAGGGGTAAAATATTATAAGTAGAAATTATACAAATAAATGTAGGCAGATTATTGATTAGGATCAAAAAACAATTCTAGCAATCAAAACTTCAAGTGTCAGCAGTATCAGCATAAACAGATTTTCATGACTCAACTTTACATTAGTTTAGGCCTAAACTAGGCAAAAATAGTAAGTGATAGGAACATTACAAGTGACAAATCTACTAAAACAATTTGGCTTTACCTAAATAGAAAAAGTCTACATGGACATGGGTTGGAAAGTTTCAATTACAGAAAATAACATAGAACTTTAGGATAGTTGAAAACTATAACCGGGCGCCTACTCGTGATTTAAAAAAACCATCCTTCAAGAAAATTATCTAAACTGTACAAATACTTAGGTTCATGTCCACATTAAAAGAGACTAGATCAATACTCATAGAAGTTCACTTCTTTATCGATGGTTATTATTTAAATGTCAGAGGGGTTGGGGTCAATCTTTTAGAAAGTTGCCAAAACATGATCCATGTAGACCTTACTTGTAGGCTACTGTAGCAGAGGTGTCCATGAACTTACCCCCAGGCGTGGTGATACCAGGACTACAACGGTACCTGTCATCCGTCTCGGCCTCGGCCACAACAACTACAAACAACACCACAACCCACGTCCTGCTGCATAGCAACCTTTCCATCTCTGGGTTAACTTCTAATCAACATCCTGAAACAGAAACATTTTACTTATTATACCCAGCAAAATTTATAATCCGACTCTCATAAACCAAAGGGTGTTGTTTTTTGAACCTTTAATCACACCCAGAAACTGTTGCACCTAATGCGATCATTAATAACAAACAAAAACATTCGAGTGAGTTTAGCCTATGTATTCAATTTATAAACTCAATATTAAACCCAACACATAAAAAATTGTTTGCGAGTCAGGTAGTAAATTAAGAACAGAAAATACATAAGAGGGAGGAGTTTATACATTCAATTTATAAACTCAATATTAACCCTCCAATTGGCAGCACGACTACAATAGTTTCTGTAGTGGCAGCGACTATAATAATAGTTGCGTTTTGCAAGGTTTATTGGTTAAAAACAATTGTAGAATGGAATAATTTTTATACTGTTAGAAAGATAATGTTCTAAACTTGCACTTTGTTACAAAAAACAAATTAATTTCATAAAGGGATGACTCTAATTTGAGCATTAAAGTGAACAAAGTCAGTTGCACCATGTACGCCTACACATCAAAAAACTGCCAAACACGTGTGTTTCAAAAAATCATAACAAGGGGTATTTTTTGTCTACAAAGAAACAGGTTGTATCACTGCAATAAGGAATAAATTTCCAATATTATGGAGCAAATATCATTTCGATATAATTACATATGATCTCACAACAAAAAACAAATCAATCATTTTTTACAAGTTCATGAAGTGGCAGAGCAACTATAATAGTCTCGCTGTCGTAAAACACATTTTATTCACTGAAATATATAATTATCCATATGATAATGTATCTCATTATAAATTTCATAAAATTCTTTGCATTGTGGTATTTAATTGTTTTAGATTGCACCACTGGTGCTGAAGTTATCAGCTGTTACTTTTCATTAATATTTGTCTGAATAAATAACCTCAATCTTTGTTGACCAACAACTAACAAGTCGAGTTTTGATGTGATTTTACTTTAGGTAGGTATTAGTGTACATTGTGATTATAAGTTGTAAGTTTGTAAATGTTTAGTTTGGATATTATTTATTGTACCTTGACTGAAATGTGACATTACTTATAGAAACTTGTGACAATATTTTTAGCCGGTTTTTGAGCACTTTGTTGACTGTTTACCAACAATGAATATCGCGGGTGTGACTGTGACTTTATCACTTTGAATCACATTTAGTTGTAAATTTGTAAATATTTAGTTTGTAAACAGTTTCTTGAGCATAGACTTAATAAATTTGAGGTTTGGGATATTACATTTAGCCCTCTTTTGAAACATTTCGTCATAGTGAAGAAACAACTTGATCGCCACATGAAAAAGGCACAGCAGCATTTTATACAAAATACTATAAAATGTGTATTTATTTATGTTTGCCTTTATAACTTTAAGATTTATAAAAGTATAAAGATTTATAGAAATGATCATTATCCATGAACAATTCTTAGTACTAGTGATCGTCAAAACCAGAAATTTCGAATCTCAAAACCGAAACCGAAACCTTAAAAAATCAAATCCCGAATCTCGATCTCAAAACCTAAACGCGAAACTTTTTTACTTAGCTGGTTACAAAAGTCAAGGGTTACAAAAAATACACATAATCATAACATGTTAAGTATGCAATCAAAACTGAAAGAGATTGACTCCTGACCATGAGAATGACTGATAATCTTAAAACCCAATACAACATAATTTTTCATAAACAACCAACAAAAAAATAAATTAAACTTCTAACACCAACATAAACATGAATATTAGATTAATTAGAACATTTAGTGGTAAATATTTCTTTGTGTTTAGTAAATATTGATGTGAAACTGAATTGTACCAGTTATAGTATTTAAGATACCTTTTGAAGTTCAGAATAAAATTTACTTGTTTCATTACTGTTAATGGTGATGTTTGCTCTATTGCTACCAGCTTGTTTGGAAACAGTGTTAAAAACAATAACGATGGCACAAAAAAATGTCAGCAGTTTCAAAAATAAAACTGCCAATATCTTCAATTTTGAAACTTTTGAATCTCGAAACTTGGTGATCGAATCTCGAAACAGAAACTTTTCCTAAGTTTTGATGGTTTTGAGATTTGAGATTCCGTTTTGACACATCACTACATAGTACAGTAGAATTTGCCATTTTTTTGTTTTGAGGCCATAACTTAATAAAACAAAATGGAAGGTTAATTGAAATATTTTAACATTTCCATGTAGGGAAATAAATTACAAAAATTTTGTATAGTCCTATATTGAATTTCATTTAAAAAATCTTCACTTCATGCAGCAAAGTTTTACTTTCAAAATTCAAAAACCATTCATTATATCTTTTCTGCCTAATGCCAATACATACTGTTCTAAATATTTATTTTGTTGCCATTTTCAAAATTTTTCGATTTTCATTATGAACAATTCAAGTAGGCTACCTATACGGTTTAATAGCTTTGCTCTGTTGGTTTAGTGTATATGAATTTACCAAAATATGACTGCAAAATCGTCAAAAATGCCTTGCCATTACAGAGTTCGCCCATTGCCAGTTAAAGGGTTAAACCCAACGAAAAAAAAAGTTTGCGACTCAGGTACGGGAGGAAGGTATTTTAGAAACTCAAATTTGCAGTAAAATTAATTATATTCTAGCTAATGGAATCAGTAAATTAGTCCTCAGTTTTCACAGATGTTTTAGGCCCTCTTATATGAATGAGGAATAGCGGCACCTGTGTATTCTCAGAATAACACAAATACTATTTCAATTAGGTAGATATTCATTTTGGCCTATGCTCACAGTACAGACCACATTTTCAATAACACATATAGCATAAGAAATAAACATAGATACTCAACATACCCCATTATTACGTGAGCCTAGCAAAGTTAAATATCTAATCTAGTGATGAGGTTGGCTTGGCTTTCAGTTAATTTATTAAGAGTTTTAAGATCCTTTCTTTATATGCCTTTCAAAAGTATGAGGTCAAAGTCAAACTCAAGAGGTACAAGCCTAATAAAAGTATGAATCAATATTAAAGACCCAAAAAAATTTGTATTACCGGTATCTAGAAAATACGACCAAAACTGTCCAATATATAATCATACAGTTCCCAAATAACATTTAAATCCTGAAACTGTTTATGGAGGTTTATATTATTCCTAGAATGGGTTCCATCCGATTGACTTCTATACCGAAACAGAGTGAGTGTTATAAAACTGACAGTCTTTGATAAGTTGTTGATCTCTGATAGTGACTTAAACTGTGAATGACGAGTATCGGTCAGACGAGGCCCTGTTTCCTTGTATTGTTGTTTATTATGATAGCCCATATCCTGCTTCTCATGAGCTTAGCCATCATTGATTGTATTATCAATCAGACCCCGTCTAAGGGTAAAAATAAAAAGAATCAAGTTAACAACTCATCTACACCTATTAAGTTGAGATTTAAAATTGATGGTTTATTTTCTTTTACTTGTTTATGTTGTGTCCTAACTGAGACATATTTTATCCGCTCACTATGCTTATTTTTCCACTCTGTTTTAAGTTATAGCCTTACTCAGGGGAAATAGTTGCCATGTATAAATTTCAATGAGATTTCCTTCTACAAAATAGCCTAACACCTGTTCTGATAGGAAAGCCTTAAGGATTGTCACAAAATCTCCTGTTAATGAGCAATGTAGGTCACTTTATTTTTATTAAAACTTAAAACAAAACCATGATTTTAACTGTAATAAATGCACGATAACTCAAGCAAAATGATCAGATTTTAATGAAATTTGGTAAATACATGTAAACCTAAATTTATTCTAACGAGTTCACGGACCAGCATGGTCGGACTATGAGTCCGTAAATTTAAAATTCCAATGTTATTCTTATGGATGGTAAATAAACTGTTGTAGTTTAGGCTACTTGTTTATGGATATGTTTTAATCAAATTTGAGAAATTTTGTTTATTTCATATTAGGCTATACACTTCAATAAAAAACACCTTAAAGCCTTCCCTGTAGTAGCCAAACCTAAGTACCAGTACGGTACTAATTAAAATTAATGTTATTTAAAAAGGCAATAAATCTGAACATTTTAAGGGAATATTTTAGTAGAAATCCAGCCAGGTAAATGGAAATTTGCTTAGTCTGCAGGTTAGCTGACGGCAGGGGTATTTTAATATTTTGATTTTTAACCCTCCAAGTGTCCATAGTTTAGGCCTTAATGTCCACCTATTTTTGGCGCATTTGCAAGGTTTTATTAAAACGGATCTGAGAAGCTTAAAACAATGTTAATTCTAATGTTCTATATACCATTTTGTTTGGAAAATCATGGGCTTCAATATCATACATAAAACATAAGGAATATTTGTTTCAAAAAATTTTTTTAGGTAAAAAAAAAATAAGTTTGCGCTCAATGAAATTGTATAAATTATAGGCCTATAAATATTTGAAAATAGCCACTTTGTTCTAAATTTTATGAGGATTATAAATATATAATAATATAAGGAAGTAGATTTGCAAATAAATAAGTTATGGGCAAAAAACAGATTTCAGTACATAGCGTTTAGCTAAGAATGCATAGCCTAACCATAGCTAGGAATCAGGCTGATAATTTACATCAATATCACCACCTACTTCTTCAGGATCATCAACCAGCCCTTCAAAACCACTTAAATCTTCTTATAATGCACCATGTATATCACTACTTTTGATTTTTAACACTAAAACAAAGATAAACGTAATAAAACACATCAGTCATCGGTCCGAGGGTAACCTAGCTGTTTACAAATACACGCACGTCAGCTGTCTGCTACAATTACGATCGGCTCAGAGAACATACAGCGCTGAGACAGACCTCTGGAGAAAGCTTAGAATATTACGGAAAGAACGATACCTAACTCGATCCAGTTCAATCCGATTCAGTCAGTCATAGAGCCTTCGCCGTAAACGATGTCTGCGTGTCGAAAAATCAACAAGTAACACTACACAAAGTGTGCTGCTTGTCGAATTTTCGTCAAGTAACACTGGGAG